AACTAATCATGTCACCATCTGAACTGGAAAGTCTCATCTGTAGTCATGATGGCTACTGATAGGCTTATACCCTGTTTAATTTTAACAAGAGTTGGTTTAAAAAATAGGAATATGAAAAATACTGGCCTTATTGTCTTAAAATCGACCACAGCTACATCTTTCAGTCACAGCATTAAAATTTGAGACTGTGTTCAGCAGAAAAAACAAAACAGCAGCTTACTCAGGAAGAAAAGCTAAAGTAGCATGACAGTGATGCGGAACTGCTTGTGGGAGGCTGACTTTCAGGCCAAAGAAATCCTCCTGTCTCATCACAGTCAATTTGAGTTTATTTAGTTTTACTCTCAGCATCCTGTGCCTCTTGATTTGTTTGAGAGCTGGATAAAAGGCCAGGTCAGCATGCTGCCCTTTTCGTTTGAGCCTGTACTAACAAACATGCTTACATGCCATTTCAGTTGAAGGATGTGACTTACAGGGAATGTTTACTTGAAAAGTTTCCTTACAAGAATTCTTACTCAGTTCAGTCAGTCAACTCATGTTATATTGATCAGAATTTCGTTATAGCAGCAGAGCATCTTCCGAATCTGGGATTCAGGCTTCAAATCGAAAAAGATTTACATGCAGAAGTTAGCTCCTTATGATCAGAGTTTGGAGGTGGATGCTGGGGCTGAAAGTTTGAGTGCAGCACTGGTGAAGAGTAGAGCAGAGGCAGAGACCGGAGGAACTCTTGCACTGTAAATAGACCAGCTGAATGGTTACTTCAGCTTGCTTTGAGCCTTTATTAGTGAAGCTTTTGGACAGGAAATCATGTAGTTTGAGAAACTACAGCTGGGAAACAGACACCCTGGAGTCTGAATTAAAAAAAAAAAGAGGTGTGAACCTTTTTGTTACTCTATAAGGCCTTTGCGACGAGTCTTTGGCAGAGATTTCTGGTTACATTTTTGTATTATCAGGCCTCACCATACATGGAACTTGAAATCTCTCTTCCTGGGAAACTGGGATAAAAGCCATTTCCCATTATTAAAGAAATAAAAACAAGCTCATAGTTCCTGGTAGTAACTCAAGAATACAGGCATCAATATTTGTATAGGAAGGACATGTGTTGTCTTTCTCTTTGCAGTCACACTGTTCAGCTGATTATTTCTGTGGTTGCATGTTTTGGCTTTTGTTCCATGACAACAAATGTGATGCTGTGGCAGCTTATTGTTGCTAAATCCCCCTACCTGGAACACAAACAGCTGCTCTATTTTGCTCCATACACCTGCTCCCATTGATGTGTCATTTATCCACAGAGCTGATGTGTGAATTGGGACTGGCTTTACTCATCAACTACTCTACGAAATACTGGCATAAAGACGCAAACAAGCTCTGCAGGAGTTGTCATTTCCCGTGGTGCATTTACAAGCAGCAACATAATGAAGACACGCAAAATAGGCTACAAAATACAGGCTTGATCATGCCCAAGTTTACTCATGCACAGCTACTACATAACACACTCTGACATATTTCAGTAGATAGCAGCAGAATGGGTTTTCAGACATTTTATGAAAATGTTAAAGGAAAATGACGGGCAGAAAAATGTATGCCCAAAAAAAAAAAAAAAGAGAAATGATTTCAGGCACAGCTAGAGGCTACACGCATTTAGATAAAAATCAGTCACTTTTTCTGTCAAATACCTTTGAGAGTCTCCTGTATTTTATGCTAAATAAGGACCTCACACTGAATAAAATTTTGATAAAGATCACAATTTAGGCCTCACCACAATCAAAGCAATATGATTGACAGGAATTGTTGGCAAAGAGAGCAAAAAAACATCTGCAGCAATGCAGACAAACAACAAGGTGCTCAGACGTGTGTGTTAGTGAAGCAGAGGGACAGATTGAGCATGGCAAGTAAAGCTGCTGAAATATTGTGTATCAGTTAGGTGTTAAAAAGCTCTTATGAGTGTTAAACTAACAATTGCATGGCTTAATAGAAAGTAACAAGGGTCCATAATTTCTTGAAATATAAATAACAAGTTAAAAGTTGAAATAGAATGAAAGTTTAGGTAATTATCTGGTTAATAACACACTGTACAGATACTCCACAAATAAAAAGCTGGTTTTCTAAATGATGGAAAGTCTTGTGACCATAACACCAAAACAAACTCAGCCATTACAAATTTTGTAGCTCTGAGACAGAGACATAGTTTCTTCTTCTTATTCACTAATATTGATTAATTAACCAGTATTAATCTTCTTGACTGACTTTAAGTATCAGAATTAGGAGGCTGAAATGACCCTGCTGATTTGTGATCTGAATTTATCTCTGCTAATATATCTATATATTTATATATATATATATATTTAAAAATAAAAAAACTGAGCTGGTCCAGAAAGGAGAAGTGGATATTTTAAGAAAACACAGATCAAATAAGAAAAACATGCTCATGAGAGAAAATTAAACCATGACAAAATATAAAGCCTGAAAAAAAACCTGCAATTGAGGTAAATATGTTGGACAATATGTTAATCCACACATGGAAAAAGCCATGCAAACTCAGACCAAATATTACTGATATAAAAACAAATATGATGGTAAAATAAAAAAGTGACAGGATTCTTACAACCCTGTGTCACATCATTATGGATTAGCAGAAACCCTGATGCTCTGTGCACAAAAGGTGATAGAAATATGTTTCCCCGTCAGAAGGGATTAGATGTAGGATGTACTCGAAGCAGACTGACAGTAAAATAATACACCTCAAAGTAGAAACATTGTTGGAGTGATTTCAGCAGTTATTCTTACTCCCTTGATAACCTTTTAACCTTTAAGGGTTCTTACCTACTACCAAATTGCATAACCTCCCTGTGTGCTAACCTTTCACAAGATTGATTGTCATGAAATGTTCTGTACTTTTCACATAAATTGTAGATACAATCATTTCTCTGAGGCAGAGCTGCACTAAGAGCAGAAATAACGTCACTGGTTGATACTGACTTCAAAGATGTTGATGCAAACCTGGAGCAAAAAACAGCCTTCAACCACAGCAGGTGGGCTGGTGCTCGTTCTCTTCTGTTTTACATATATGCAGTTGTATGCAGTTTATACCATGATACGGAATAAATTAATTATTGATACTAAAAGACTTAGTCTCTTGAGGTTTGCTTTGCTCATACAAAGCTGGTATCTTTGTTGCCATGGTAACTTTCTGTCAAATTTGTGATGACCTCTTCCTTTAATTTACTCATTCATGTTAGACATCCTTTAGCATGTGTGTTTTTTACTCATATTTACCCAGAATGCCATTGATGTTAACCTGTTAGCTTCCTCTGGCAAAGCCTGCAGTGACTCTGGCTCAAGGATACAAAAGAGGAAGCTATCTCAGTGTTATTCCCAACCCTCCTCCACTTATGAGACACACATGTGCAGCTTTTTACCTCACTGTCATACCTGATACTTTAAACTTTGTACAATTCTAATTCAAGAAATCAAACGGATTAATTAGCAAATCTTTAAACCCTTACATAAATCAATAAAAGTGCAAAGACAACATACCAGGTGGTGAAACTGGCATATTTTATTATTTTACAAGATATATAAAACTTGGAATTTGATCCCAGCAGCATGTTTCAGAAAAGGTGAAACAGGGACAGCGAAATACTGAAAAAGTTGTGTAACGTGAACATTTCCCAACTACTTGAGTGCATTTGCAACATTTAAGTGACATAACTAGGTTTTAAAGATCTTTCAAGAAAAGCTTTGAGTCTCAGAAGTAAAGACTGAAATAAGATTCTTCTTTCTGTGAGAGACAGTGTGAGCAAATAGTTACTCAATTTCAGAAAAAAAAAAAACTATAAAAAAAAGATCATATAATATAATTTAATCTTTGCCCAAGAGGGACATAGCCCAACACTAATACTTAATGACCATGATTCTTGGGCTCTTTAGTGCCACTCCATTAAAAACAAACGTAGCTCTGCATCGGAAGTCCCCATACGGCGCATCGCATCAAAAATAAATTCCTTGAACTCTGTTGCTACATTTAGAAATGAAAGCTAAAACTGCTCCAGGCAAAGAGAAAATCATATATAAACATGATGTAGGAACACTGACGATTTATTTCAGATAAAGTCAGGCTAGTTAGAACTGTCATGAGGTCTGACAAAAATCAAAATCTGACTTTATTTTTGGAAAATCTTGTCCTACCCTGAAAACAAGAGAGGACCAGCTAACATCTGAGATGTTGTGTGTATGCATTAATGCCCATGGCACGGCGTACACATTCAGTAAGGCTCCATAAATGCTAAACGATACATTTACATATCCTCATCCTAACTTGTCCCACCTTCAAAACATTTGTCTCCTCTGACATGATAACATGACAGGAGACCCTGAACTGTTGAAAAGCTAAAATCTTACTCAAGACATGAATGAGACATTTCACTCAGAAAACTCCAGAAACTGGTCTCCTTGATCCCCAAAAGTCACAACATAGAGTCACTGAGAGAAGAGGTGATGCAACACAGAGGTAAACATATCCCTGTCCCAGCTTTTTTGAAACTTGTTGCTGGCATAACATTTGAAAATGAGCAGAAACTGTTTTTGTAAGACGATAAAAGTTCTCAGTTTCATATGTTGTCGTTGTGTTATTCCCAATTAATTAGAGAGTTTAAATCACTTGCAAATCACCAAGATCTGTTTTTATTTATACTTTAAACAGTGTCCTAACATTTTTGGATGTAGGTTTGTCAATTCTGTCATAATAGTAGTTTATTGGTACCTTATTAAGATAGGCTGCCAATGTGCCTTTTATAGCCACAAACCAAAGCCCTACCTTTTTCAGTGTTTTTCCACTAATGAGGTTATTTGTGCGCCCTGTGCAGCTCTATTCCACACACACACTCTGTCAAAAAGGCCTCAACAGTCACACACATCTTAAAAAATCAGTAATACAGTAAATTGCTTCCTGGAAACACTTGGGTGTTTGAGTCAATGGCAGCCTCCCACACGCTGCTCCCTCATCAGACATTGGGTCCTTTGCTGTAATGTTCCCTGAGGTTGTAGGTCTGATAACACATTGAAATATCACAAACACCTGGGAGCCCTGGGTTGCCTCGTTTCCCTGGGTCTCCTGGTGGACCTGGTTTCCCTGGAATCCCTTGATTGCCTGGATGACCGATTCCGTCAAAACCTCGAGGACCCTGAATTCCTGCGGTGGTAACGACGGACAAAAAAGAACTAAATAAGCAAAAACACAGCTGGTACTCGTTCTGCCTCATTACTAGAGAGAAAGTGAAAGGTTTCATTGAATATGATTACAGCTTGAGCTCTATGAACTAAAATTAGCACATGATGGATCATTAATTACATCTATTCACACTGCATGGGATGAGTTAATAAGCTGCTGTGGCTCTCACTGACAAATACAGCGGTGTCTGTGACTTGTACTCACCTCTCCCTCACCCCACCATCCACTGTCAGGAAGTATACTCAAAGAAAATTGAACACTAACAGAGTCCTCTCCTATATCAATTAAAAATGTATGACTGTAAACAACCTTGATGTGTATTTGTTAAAAAAGCACTTGAGCACAGACCTGAAAGCTCGGACATCAAACATCATAGTTCAGTTGCTGAAACAGCTGTAACTCCACAAAATGGCTAATTGGGTGAATATGTTTTGGAAAAATGCTGATAGTTGTTTTTTTTTTCTGTACCTGGCTGTCCAGGTGGTCCCGGTGGTCCTCGAGTACCCTCTCCGCTACTTCCTTTAAGCCCTCTTGCTCCGATGTCACCTGTGGGTATGATATGTCTGCTTTAAAAATAGCATGAGAGCTTTTATGAGCCGTCAGATTGAGAACTGCGAGAAAGAAATAGCTTTTCCCTCCAAGCCAGCTGTGTCCAGCCCTGTGCTGCTGGAATACTGAGCAGACTTTTATTGAAAGGGGACACACCAGAAATATAGATGTTGTATAAAATAGATGAAATATAGAGTTTTACAAAAATGTTCCTATAAAATTCATTGTTCGGACACTTTTAACACTTGTTTTGTCATCGAAAAAGTGGGATGCATCCTGTACACTGGTGCAATCATAACCCTTTTAGTATTAGTCAACAGTATGGTGCTTTTTGGTGGGTTCAACACCAACTACTAACCAGCAAGTTGTTTTTGGCTTGTTTTCAAAAGTGGCAGAAGATAAGACACATTTCTCTGAATACAGAACTCTCGATGGACAGATCAAGGTGGAATGACATGACTTATACTCATGGTAAAGACAGACAGGGTGTATTGGTCCTCAGATGCTTTCATGTTGGTGGTTAATTACTGTTGCAAAAGTGCAAAGCAGGATTATAAGTGCCGGGTTGTGTTTTTTTTAACATGTGCTAGTGGTCTAAAAAAATAAAAGGAAATCCAACCTTCTTCTGAATGCCTCCCTAATCTCTTATTAGAAAGTAATAATGATCCTGACAGTATATAGGCAATAAAGTTATCTCATTTTAATATCATATTTTCACCTCACAGTTAGTGTAGCCATGTTGATTTTATCATGGTATTCATGGAAAAGTTGGAAGTAAATCTACCTATCAGCCAAACTGGATCAAATTGTTTTGAAGTACCTTATGTTGGTGATATACTACATCTGATAGATTGTAAGTTAAAAGACGTGCAACCCAGCATTAGGACCACTATTATGACCTTACAGAATTACAATACACTTATTTCTAGCACGAGTCCAGAATACAGTCACGTGCTCAAACAAAAAAAAGGTGTAAAACCTAAAACATACAGGATCCGTATTGAGCACGTTCTGTCAGCGCCGCGTGTCACGCAGCAAACAGGTTCCCATTCTAATCAATGCAGCATCGCACATAGGATGCGTTTTTGCTCAGTATCATAAGTGTGCCGAGCGCGGCTCTAAAGACACGCCCTGAGTCTATTTTCTCTGCTCTACACTTCCACCACATGTCAATTTACACAGAGAAGATTGTTCTAGACAGGATGTCAAGCTCAGAAACTGCGCATGTCATCCAGTAGATTTCAAAATAAAACACCATATGCAGAGTCCCAACTGTGTAGATGAGAAATACTTCCTAGTTATGCATTTATCAAAAACACAGAACAATCAAATGGTCAATCCCTGATCCATGTGGACCCCAACAGGGCTTTTAACTGCTAACTCTGTCTGAAGGTAACAGCACAATATAAAGGAACATAGTTTACTTTATTAAACACGAGTAAACCTGCAAAAACTGAAACTTTAAAATCATGTTGCCTTTTCAGATACAGTAGAACCTCAAAAGTCACTGAATTATATGCAGATTAGCAGGAAACGACCACAGAAAGGCAAAACAACCTGTTGTGAGCATGTTGTTTCCTCTATACTGAGCCCAGCTGACTGGAGATGCACTACGCTGCTGTCATGCTCCAAATACACATCCTGTGGGCGATAGACAGCACTGCCCGACCAAGCACAGGTGCAATGCTGACGGAACGTGCTCAATACGGATCCTATATGTTTTCGGCTTTAGGAACAGTTTACCTTATTTCAGTGCTGAGTGCACAGGACATATTATTATTAGATCGTTTCTGATACTATTGGCCTGTCCTTAGTTTTGAATAATATTGACACCCCTGTGTCTCTGAGTCCTGAGTTAATGTACTGTTAACTATGACAGTGTCTGGCTGCTTACACCATGCAAGTAAATTTTAAGTGGATACCACCAAACCATTTATCAGCTGACTTTGAAAGTAGCTTTTGTGAGTTTTCTGTGTTTTTGAGTAGAAAGGCTGCAATCTACTGTGCAAATAGTGACACTGTAGGCGCAACTGGCAACTGGCTCTCAAAAGGAATAAGGGTAGACAAAGTGATAAGTGTGATTTATGTTATTACCAAAACACACAGTTAAACACACACAGGACTGAATCCACCTTCTTTTCATGTCGTGCCACACTTGTGTGCCGCCTAATAAGCAACATGCAGTCAAACCCGCCCTAATTTGCTTTGTGTAATGCTCTTTAACCTTATGTTTTAGATCATTAAAACGGTGCTAAACAAGTTCACCTGTGTTTACACCCCATGCGCTTGTTAAGAAGCTCCACTGTGTCTTTTATAAGACTCTTCCTGCATAGTGAATTACAGTTCTTTAAAATAAAAATAAAAAACTCTACTTTACCCTGACAACTTTAGTCTGTGTGCATTTTGACCCGTGCAGTAGAAACAGCAGTGGAGTGGTACAGTTTGGCATCTTTCACAGATGATTAGCCACTCTCTGTCTTGAAGTGGTGATAAATCAAAGACAGCCCAATGAGATGGGTATGCATTCTGTATTTGTTGTCTTTTGCTCTGGTGGCTTTCACTGATGTTCACTCGTTTAATGATGTTGTTTTATGGGGTACAGTGAACATCAACACATTCAATTTGTTCCTGCTTGACACTGTTTTGATTTTAATCGTTGATGAAAGCAGCAGTAAATTGTGCGCTAGCTCTTGTTCATGAAGTTGTGTCGTTATTTACTGTCTTGTTGTTGTCACGGTGAAGAGACTGATTGAAACATTTTTGTCACAGTTTCAGACGGTGAATCAAACTGGTTTTAAAGCAAGCACTGAATATAGATGGACTACACCTGCCTTACGGTTCAAATTACCGCTCTTATTACCTTTCAGGCCTGCAGGACCCTGCAAACCAGGGGGTCCTGGGTAACCGGGAGCTCCGCTCCTGCCAGGGTAGCCTGGGGTTCCCATGGAGCCTTTAGGTCCTGGTGCTCCTGGCTCACCTGGGGGTCCCTTCACACTGTAGCAGGGTTCACACTGAGATCGGGGTGCCAGGCTCTGCAGCAGTGCTGGAAGCTGATCTATGGGGTACAAAGAAGAGATTCTGGTTAATACATCCACATATTAATAATATCAATAGAAGTCACACTATAGTGACTGTAAAGCTGAATTAATTCTCTATGTATTCATATATTTTGCCATCATGGAGATTAAAGATCTTTACATGTATTCCTTAGATTTTTTCCTCTCAGGCGCAACAACTTAGAACTAACTGGGAGCAAGTGTGCATTCAAAAACACTAGGGTTTTTAATAAGACAGCAATCACAGCTTCCCTCAAAAGTGTGCAAGCAACTTCTTGGAGGGAAGAAAAAGCACCATCTTCATTAATCCTCTTGTGTGATAAACTATATCTGTGTATAATCAGAGTGAAATTTCATTGTTTAAACATCTCCAGGCTAAAGAATTTCCACTACTTTATAGAAAAAAAAAATTCTGTCTGCTTATTTCTGGAGTGGGAAGGCATCCAAATATGTGTTATCCACAGCAGGTTATTATACTGTACCTGAAGCAATCCACAAACCAATTTGATTGCCTGATTAGAGTTCACTCTTCTCAGTCCCAGTTGTTGATGCTGACAATAGATCTAATCAGCAGGAGAGCAGCAGAAAGAATCAGCCTGCATCAGGCTTAATGTTTTTCTTTAGGTCTGCATTCATCCATTCAGTGTACATGAATTTACCCTAAAGAATAGTCAGCAAATGTGATGAGAAAGTTATAGTTTTCGTGACTCCTGCAGATAATTGTTGCACACGGATCCTTGTTTTTCCTCTGGTTCTCTGAGAATATATGTCCTAAAGTAATGGCAGCATAACTCTTCAATTTTAATCCAACAACTCATACAGATCGATAAATTCACAGATGTATCAGGAAAATTACTTTTAATTTTTCTTAATTTCAAGCTGTTTTCAACAGCTAACCATGCAGAGTAAAGTACAGTAAAGCAGTGAGCTGCTACAGTGAGGAGTGACACATGTGTATAGGCCAGGTAGAGTGGTTTGCTGTCACTGTCTAGTTGGGTTACTGGACCTCATGACACCTATTCCACCAAGAGGTTAGAGATCACCCATTTGACCAGTGCCAACATAATAAAGAGATAACTGGGAGAGGTTACAAGTCAGGAGTACGGCCGGAGGATGAGATAAAAAGGGAGAGACTCGTTCCCGAATCACAAGTGGTCTAGACCATACTGAGGCTTTGAGCTTATTAGTTTTGGTTTGGAAATTGGCCCTTTAATGGAGCCAGTGGGATATCTAGGCTGCAAGTGGACATTTAAAGAACTGCAGATTTGTGCACTCCTGCTTGGCTTCATTTTTTTTCAACACCATAAAATCGCTGATTGGGTCAAATTTGACCAGCAGCCCTTAACTATATCCTCCACTCCCTCTGCTCTATCCACTGCCCTGTCCTCTAGATAAAGGCACACAATTATTATTAAAGTCATAGAGAATCTTTCACAAATACAGACATTTTTCATGTAACAGAGCAGAGTCATTTTTCACTATTTCTCTCATTTTTCCTGCATTTAAAATTATAAATCACTCAGATGATTCATGTGGAATATATGTCTTATATGAGGGGTTTCAGTCAAAGGCTTTTTAATTTAGTGCAGACCAACATGAACAGATACTTACTACGCAGGACATCAGTGCAGAGTTTAAGCAGATGTTCATCTGAGGGAGGTCTGCCCTGAAACACAAAAACACTTAAATCAGTAGAATCAACTGTGGGGCTGGGAAAACAGGCCCACTTGGGAATATTGAGCATGTTTGAATATTTACAGGATCTTCTCAGTGTTGTGGTGTCTGTATTTCCCACACAGCCCCCACACATCCTGACAGACATGGTCCCATTTTTCTCAAAACATAGCGGGGACCTGCTGGTTCCAAAAAGTGTTTTTCTCTTTTTCCCTTTTTTTCTTCATTATATTTTCTTTTCCTTTTTGAGATTATCTCTGAAGGGTTGGTGTAGAAGTCCTTCACTCACCGGTTTTCCAGGATATCCTGGTTGGCCTGGTTGGCCCGGCAACCCGTCTTGGCCAGGAAATCCCCTAGGACCAACAACACCCATGTGGCCCATGTCCCCTTTTTTTCCTTCAGTCCCTCTGAGGCCCACATCACCTGTCACTCCTTTCTGAAGGAGTAGGAGGATCAAAAGACAATCTCAGACTGCAATAGAAAGAAGTTATAAAAAAATCTCCCTAAATAAAAATTCAATTTCTTCTGTTTACATGGATCAGTTTCATATTAAGGCAGTAATGGTAGCCTTAGTCACATGAAATCATTGCGGTGCTCGATAAAGGAGCTGGAGGTCGAGCATCTGTTATGTAAAATTGAAGCTTTCATTGTTACCTTGTTTTTCATTTAAGAAAATAGATGGCCCGATAAAACATTTTTAGTTTTGTCTGTAAGAGCCTTATGGTAGAACTTTCTCTATTATGGGGGAGAGTGGGGTAAGTTGAGTCGAAGGGTAAGTTCAGCCACCCCCTGTTGTTTGGAAATGGTCGAAAAAATTGATCATGAGACCAAATATTTAGGAGATGGGCATCAATTCATGGAGTCTGTGAAGGTTAGAAGTAGTAGGGATGCGGCTCAACTTACCCCGCTCCCCCCATACATGGGGTAAGTTGACCATGGGAGACCACTTTTTTTGGCGTGCTATATTATCAAGACAGTTACATTTACACTCATTCTGTTGGTTTGCAGGGATGCACAACATCTTGAAATATATGCCGATACACTAGTTAGAAACAAAACTATGATTGCTTTGATGTAGTGATCCAAAATATAAAAAATGGCTCATCTTACCCCACTCTCACTCTCACCCTCTTTATACTGCCCCCCTGTGGATGAGGCATAAAAAGGCAAGCTTACAGAAGCTAAATGTGGCATACAATTACGCATTTAGGATTCCATTGAAGAAACCAAGGTCGGGTTTTACTCTTTTCATGCACTCTTGAGAAATCCGATGGATAAATTAATGTGCAGATTGACAGATTCTCAGAACTCTATATTAGGGCTGCTGACAAATCCCCTTATTAGTTCTATTCGATACCAGTCTCCCCGGTGGAGATACTGGTGAAGATGTCTTTTTTATAATGCAGATGTGCCTTTTTTATTAAGTGTTGTGTTTGTTTCTGTTTGTACTTGTATTCATTGTCTTGTTTATAGACCTTGAGTCTGTCAAAGTATCTATCTGTCAAGTTATAACAGGTTAGAAATGAGCATGCCCTAAACATCTGCCCTTAGAATACAAACAGAATAAATATATAGATGGCTGTTCAGTTAAAGAAGAAAACACTGCTCCTTTGTCTCAGTTTGATGGCTGGCTGTTTCATTCTGGTCGAATGCTTTCAAGAGCCACTTTTATTGCAGGTGGGCCATTCATCCCACTGTAATCTGATTGGCTGTTACACAGGAACTTTTTTACGAAAATAATCCTGACTGAAAAAGCGCCATACTTTTCTTTGTCACCACATATAAAGAGGAAATCTCAGCAGGATTTGCATTGTGTCTATTTCCCTCCTGATTCATGGCAGGTAGCTGGAAACCCGCAATAGAAGTCATCAGTGTGGGTGCGTAGCTAGCCAATTCAACCAGTGTTTGAGCGAGATGACAGAGCCAAGAGCTTTTACTCAATGGAAATATTCCCATCAGTTTGAGTTTCTGGGTAAGAAAAATACAAGAACAAGTTCAGGGTTGAAGGTTCGCTGTGCCTGAAGAATAAAAACTTGACGGGGGCCAAGAACTCAATGAGGAAGTAGCTGCAAGCTAAATTTAACCGGGCTGTTTAGGAGGGGTAGTGCTACTGAACAGCAAAAACACAGCTTTTAGTTGGCTCGGGGAGGGGAGGGGAGGCGAAAAAAACTACTCAGATATGCTGCTCACTGCTGGGATCTCTGCTGGGGAACTGCACAATTGACTGACCCCTGCAACTCTAAGACTTTACAGAGGACAGGAATACAATCTTAATGACTGAATTTGGTGATGCAATAGTACTCCAACGTGTTACTCAGGGACAGGACTGTAACTGTAGCTTCCCGGCAGTAATGAGTTATTACTATTGGCGACATTCCCGACTTTGCTCTGACGGCCTCTGCTCTTTTACATTTTTTTGTCTAAAGCATGTTTACAGATGGTTGACTTTTTTTAAAACTACATCATATTTTACAAATATTCCCATCTAAGGGAGGCTGTATCTTGATCATTTGCGATTCTGTAGACAGTACAGTAAGTGTTTGATATTTCAGATGTGTTTGCCTTCAGAAAAAAAATCAGCTTTTGTGATGTATATTTTTGCCCATGGGGCCAGATTTCCCCAGGCCTGGAGGTATTGGCTCTGTAAGTCTTCTATAGCAGCCGTGCAGGCTTGACAGGGCTTCTCAGTGCGCTGCAGAATAAGACAGAATGGATTATATCTAATACCGCAAAGTCTAATTCGACAAACCTCTCCTTTCTTTCCCCTGGGTCCTTCTTCGCCCTGATGGAAGACAGAAAAGGGAGCAGGGGAGGGTTGGGTGGGAAAGGGAAGAGGGGGAAATGGAGAGAGACAGTTAGAAACTTCTGCTTCCATATCAAAGACAGAGTTAGTATGTCAGAGAAGCTATCCGTGCAGCACCACATTGCTGATGCAGAGCGACTTTCTCTTCTATCAAAACTGCTGGCTTACAAAACATTTTGGATTGGTTATTGTAATGCTTTCTCTAAAGACTTTTTTGAGCTTTCTAGCTTTATAAGATGATGAAAAATGCATCCTTGGATCCACTTGTCCTTAAAAGCACCCTCCAGTAGAGTAAAATGAAGCACTTTGAGAACATATCTGAGTCTTTGGGTGTGTTCTGTTCCCTTTACTGTGCTTCCTCTTTTCCATCCTTACTCATGGCCTCTCTTCCTCAAATGTGGCCACCCTTTTTAAAAAACAAATTAACCAAATCGCCTAAAAATATAAAGGTATCACGCAATGTACCTTAAAATGAAAAACTGCAGCACTACCCACATCTGATTAAAGATTCAATGGAAACTAAATGACGCAACTGGCGAAGATTGACGAAAGGTCTGCTGTGAGACAATTTCTCGGACGTGCAGAAGCATCTGATTGCAGCCATTTTTATCTTGTTGTGGTCCGCAAACACCTCAAGTGGGCTTCAGATAGAAGGATGACAGCATCTTCTTATCTGCACAATGTATAACACCTAACGTGAAAGGTTCCATGACCGAAGCATCTCAGAGTTTTGTTGGCTGCCAAAAGTTCCCACCAACTACTCAAAATTTGTGTATATTTGAGGTGTTTCTAAAACTTTCAACCAACCCCTAGACCTTTTACATTTTAGCAAAGTTGTCAATCCCCAAACACTTCGAACAGAACATAAACACACTCAAATTTAATCAATACACTCATCCAAAGTGACTGTGTCACTGCAACACGTACTTTCTTCCAACGTATTGATTGTACATTTCACCGAGAGATAACTTTTTAGAGCTTATGCAACTCTGCGGCTGAAGACATCCAAAGCAGACAGTGGAAGGTGACTAAAACTGCTTCCTCCACCAAGAGAAGTGTGGAGAAAATGCATTAAACTGAAGTCAGCAAAAGGGTTACTTCATCTGTAACGGTCAAGCTCATTCATCATGACTCCTTGTCTTACTTACCCTACCTCCTTTTCCTCACTTACGCCATGTTAAATTGTCTCCACATCACATGAAAATCAGCTTTTGTGTATGAGTCCTCTTTTATTGTGTAGCCTGATTTTTCTTTTTTTTTTTTTTTGGCTGTAGATGATACTGAGCTAATGTTTATTACCTGCTGAAAGCCTTCCTACGCTTCCAAATCTTCAAAGGTTGGGAATCTAGGTCATATTCTATATATATCATTAAAGATACAATTATTGCCTTGATGCTTGTATTCCCAAACCAACCAGCCAAGTAGCAGTGTACATCCATCAGTCTTTCCCAACACAGTGTGCGGTTACTCTAGTTGTAGTGGGAACGAGGGGTGTATTTGCAAAGTAAAACTACTTGCAAGAATCAAACTCTGGCAAAGAGACAAAGAGTGATTGTGTGTATTAATAATGGCCTTCATTCAGTGGATTTATACCTTTTTTCTGGTGCAGATAGGAAATGCTTCTTCCCTCCCAGCATGTTTGAGCTAGATTTGGAGGAAGTGGGTCACAGTGATCCAAGACATTTAACTTAATTGGCCAAAATTTTGACCCTTAAATTCTTAAGAGACTGTTTCAAACATAGATGGGGCCACTGCCACATTTTTAAGCCCAACGTTTGCAAGGGCCACATTAAGAATGTGAATCTGACCTACCCTTCAATCCACATAAAAAATAAAACAAAATTAAAAAAACAGGCACAGAGGGTGAGCTGATGTGGATTTCAACCTGGTCTACAGACTGTTACAGCACAAACACCTGTCCATTAACTCAATCATGCTCTTACTTAGGCAACTCTATGTATAACTCTTAGCTTTTACACTATCTCAACCAATGCATTATAGAGCATATATAATGTAAGGTAGCACTGGAACAGCAGAAGCAAAAAACTGCAGTCCCTGCAGTTTTATATAGAAAACTAGGGGATGTATTTATAAGGCGACTGATCAAATACTTGATTATCTTGAGTGCAGGAAATATTTTACAAGCCATGAAAGGCCTCCCCCTGCAAGACTGAAACTTTGCACAAAATACATGACTGCCTTTGGAACACGTTTCCATCATGTGTGCACAACATATACACAAGATGATCTTATCAGGCACGCTTAATAATAACTGGTTTTAGACATTGTGCACACAAAGTAATGATCTTGTTCTTACAAGCTAATTTCATCATGCACACAAGTAATATTAAAAAATAACTAATTTGTCTTGTAAGCACAAGATGTGCACAGACAATTAAAAAAAAAATGTCCCAACAAAATGCCTATACAGTGTTTACTTAAAGACTGTAGTGATGTATCATTCATGATCGAACCGGTTCAAAGAACTCTTTAACGTGATTGATGGGAGCCGGCTCCCGTCTGTGAGCTGTTTTTTTTTTTTCTCCCACAGACCGTAGAAAAAAAACTACAAGGCAAAACGATAGGATTTCTATCTGTCTTGTGTAGCAGAATAGTTCTACAAGCAAGTCAGTGCATTCATTGGGTGGTTTCAGAGAGTAACAAAGGTCTTTAAATGCAATGAAAACAATTGGCTACAGCAATTTACTGATATTAGAAAATGTAATTTTAACTTGTGAATACTTCAGTACAAAGGGTGTGTTGAATTATTTAAGAGGTATGTGTGCACATACATACTGTACATATCATAAGCCAAACAACACGAAATATGGCTGAATTAGAAAATGTGTAAGTGACAAAATGAAGAGCCGTTTGGAAGCAGAGCCGGATCTTCTTGGAGAGCTGAGCTGAATGATCTGGCTCACTAAAAAGAGCCGTAATTCTTATCACTAAAAGGCTGACTTATTTTCATACGGCATTAAATACTTTCATGGCAACAATTTACTATCTTGCACATGCGATACATTAACTTACACATTCATCAAGATATTAACTTGTATGCACAAAATCACACAGGATGTATTCTCTTTGGGTGATAAGACTCTGCAAAAAATGATCATCTTGTGAGTGCTTATGAACATTTATTGGGGATGAGTCAACAGTTCTGTGAGCACAAGATATTAAACTGTGCACATAGGATAAAGGTTAGTATATAGTGCACTCAAGAAAACTGTTTAACCTCAAAAGATAAGAAACTATGAACTTACAACATTACTTAAGACTTGCACAAGATAATAATCATTCCTACAAGATAATAATTTGTGCACAATAATTTTAATCCTTCCAAACTATGTGTCCTGTGAGCACAACATAAATAAAATTGTTATTGCGGGACTACTATTTCATTCTTCTACTAAACTGTTAAACCTGTAATGCTCCATTGTAGTCGACAGGTGTTTGTTCTGCAACAAGAACAAGAGGCTCCCTTCTTTTTTTTTTGTAGTCTAAATGTCAAATGACCTGTCAGAGAACAAACACCCATACTCTCGAACTGCAGTACTGTCATATTATTTTATCCAGGACGAAATAAGGAAGTCTGTGTAAAGACAAAAATATGTTATATCTGTCTCAGCAGTGACACTCTTGTGATTCACTGCTGGTGCGTTTAGCCTTGAGAGCGTGTGACATGGAGGCTGGGCTGCTCTCGACGCTGTGGAATTACAGAGTGTGAACATTAAGCTGCATACTGAAAATTACAATCGTTTTATCTGTCTCAAGAGTCGCAGACTCGACTGCACAACTCTCCAGATGATGAAATGTAGCAACTGCCTGGCGCTCACACTCACACGGACACAGACACAGACACAGACACAGACACACAGCCCTGACTGGATTTATTGTCTAAACCCTATCCAGGGATGTGGGGATCAATGCCTCAGTAATCGATACCCACGGATCAATTCTTAAATGCTACTCATTTGCTTTTGTTCCTATTAAAAAAGATCAATTGCGAAGCTTAGCCTGAAAGCTGGGAATTGCAGATCACTCAGCAATTCATAACACTATGTTTGCTCATTAAAAAATATTGATGAGGGTGGTAATCTCAACACGGATAAACATGTTGAATCAATTATGTAAATGTGCTTCTTTCACCTTCTCGAACCTTATTTCACCTTGTTGTCAAGATCCAATCAGTCTTCAAACTGCTGACTCTCATTTGAAAATATTTCCCCTCCAGATCACTGGTAATTGACAATTCAACAAATGTTTTATCTTGACCTTGCAGATGAAAATGTATCTGATTGAAACACACTGGGTGCAGATTTTGAGTTTGATCTGATCCTCTGAGACATGACTCTGTTCTCACAGCTCCTACGTACTCGTATCTCACTTTCACTCTGTTCAGACAGGGTCGTGGCTAAATGCCATGAGTGCTTCACATGTGTATAACACATGCTACTGTATGTTTACAGCTATATCAATATTCATCCACACAATCCAATAAACCACTGTGTGATGAAAAACAAAATCTGCAGCTTGAGTTATGAAGAGGAATGACACGTTAACAATCCAACTTCAGGCCAAAGCAGCAGCCTCTCCATTCCTCACTCTTAGCCTGTATCAAAACATGACTGATTGTTTATTTTGAGACTTCTCTTCTTTGGAAGGCTCTCTTTTTAATAGGTCAATCTTTCTCTTTTTGGTCACTTTGAGTAAACAGACATTTTTTGGCCATTTCTGGAAAAGCACTCTCTTTCTGTTGGATTCTTTCCTTTTCACTATTGAATCAGACTCTTTTTGAAACCACCTGAATAGATGTGTGAGCCCTCTGCAGAGGGTTTGCAGATGATGGCCAACAGAAAAACTGCCCCAAAAATCAAATAGAGTGACCATCGTTAGAGACTGTACGAAACAATGAATTTACTTAAGAGGGAAAATGCACATATGGCTTGGCACCATAGACTGTATATAGAATGGACGCCATCTGCCTCCCGCTGGGTGAAGCCACCCCAAAAACAGCACCCTCTGGTGACAAGCTGCAGTATAGGTCATAAATCCCGCCTCCTCCAGCAATCCCTATGAAGCTGTGGATAAACTTTAAAAATTAACTACACAGAATATTAATTTTTCTCCCCCCTGGTTGCGATGTTGACATGTAGTTACTGTAAGACTGGTTTGTGCTCAAGTCCAATTTTTTCTGTACAGCTCCATTTTTGAAAGTTATTAGGGGGCTCTAGTTTTCTATGATTGACACTTGATACAGCCTATAGGCATACAAAGTTTATGTGGCTCACTCGGGGGATACGCTGTTTGAGCCAATCGTCATCACAGCGACTCTCGAGGACACTCCCACCGAATGCTGTAAGTTGTATAGTGTGTACAATGCTACTGCGCAAGTGGTGGTTCTAAGAAGTGGAGAAAATCCCGTAAATACCAAGAGCAATTAGGCTTCAAGTATGTATACTGGCCAAAGGCGGAAACAAGTTGTCCATAGTATATGCAGTCTATGCTTGGCACATGTATGAGTACTTTCCAGTCGTCCTTTTTGGTCAGGAAGGTTCCTCAGTGAGTTCAGTTCTCCAAATGATACAGAAAGGAGCCTCATTACTTCCCTGATTACCTTCTTCAGCAAAAGAAACACTGGACAGTACTTCATTATGGGACCGAAGGAAAAACAGCCCATAATTATTTGCAACATCTACGGTCACAGTCCTGTTAAATCACAATTTACAAATGTTCACCTTGTATATTATGTAAATAGGAGCACCAATGAAAAGACAGAACATGACTTCTATGATTAAAACAACACTATTAACAAAACACTGTCATCATCCCACTGTCATCAACCCTGAAGAGATTCTTAAAAAATGTGACAAAAAATGTCACCTTCCCAAAAACTGTGAAAATGTTATATATTTTTTTTCTACTTTCAAAGGGTCAATTGTTAAAACTACTTCATCCTGAATGAAACATATCAAATATTTATTATATTTTTGATTTTTTTAACCCTTTGTATGACAGTGTGTTAACATAACTCCACTGTTTGTTTTATAAAAATTAAAAATATAAAGGCAGTAGTCCAAAATAGAATCTTAACATAAGAGAATGCATTAGTTTTTTATGTTATGATAAATGAGGGATCAAAAATGGTATTTTCAATGTTTTTTATTGGGACATTTTTTGTCACAATGATCAAATGTGTTGTTTTTTCTGTGACTTAGCCATTTTAGGCTAATCTATGGTTTCCCAAAATTGAATGCTCTTCAGCAATAATGGCATGAAAATAAAAAACGAACCGGCACAAAATGTCTCAAGGATCTTTTAAGGGTTAAATAAGTGAGTAAGTATTCATAGTAGTGCAGCATTTTTACCCACAGTCTCATACAGACTGATGATATTCATATTAGAGGAAACAAGTTTAAACTGAATAAAAACTCACTGTGTTAACACAGTGAATAAGGGATTAAGATCAGTGCAGCAGTCATATGAGGTCCACATTTACTGATAGGCTCGCAAACATACGGCTGCAGATGTTCACTCAGATCCTCAGACGTCTCATCCTGAGCAGACGTTCTGCCTCATTAGCTGCACAAACCTGTTCATGTCACACTTATCTCTGAGTTTGCTTCATTTATATGTCTGCCTGAAACAACACCAGAGGAGTGCAGATAGATTGTAGTTTTCTCATTGCACATTCACGTGCATCTGCTGAGTTTAAGAGCAGTCAGATTCTCCTTAAGAACAAGAGGATAGAAGAGGACTTAAAATGAACCCTTTTTGGGGGGTTAGAGACAGGGGTGCAATGATGTCAGTGTCAAATTCAGCACGTCAACATGTACTTTAAATTCAACTACAGTCATAGTTTAATTTGTTGAACAGCGTGTAATTGTACCGATAGCTCCACCCGTTTCAGCACCCACAGAGGTGTTATTGTGGGAGGAAACGGAGCCAAGTTGTTTTCATTAATAAACAGTCAACGGCCAAAGATATCAGGGTGTTGAAAAGAGCCAATCAGAGAGGAGAAACTGTCCTCCAAATGATGGAAAATGACTCCAGTTGTCTCTTGCCTCAGCTTCCGTGACCAGGTACTAACATCTGATAACCATGTCTTTCCTATGAGCTCGGTGTAAATCCCCTGCTGGTGGTGATACTTTGAGGCTAATTTCCTCTGAAGTGACATTTTGCTGTTTGAAACGATAGGATCTTAACATTCAGTCCCCCTTCTTCCTATCTGCAGTGCTCTTGTCTGAACTGTGTTTTTATGATAAAAGTCTATGGAACCAGTTCAAAGTGACTCACCCTTTTTAGCGAGTCTGCTAAAAGTTAACTTTGCTGCTTCTCATTTTCCTCTATGATTTATTTTACTGTGAGGAGCTTCCTAAATGTTTTATCCTCTCATCCTCATTTTGTCTCTTCTTAATCCATCTTTTGTTTTCTCCCGCTCCGTTGGTTGCATTTTCTGTTTATACTTTCGCTTCTTGTGATTTTAAATGCTGTCTGATTTTAATCTTACAAAGCTGTTTGTAAAGTCAGTTAATTTCTGCCAGATTAGAGGAGTTTATAACCATCATATGTATTTGTGATAAAGTTTTTATGACAACTTCTAACAGACTTTCTGAAAAGGTAAATTCACGACACGACAGCAAGTTCAGCTTTTTGTGAGTGAAAACCAGCCAGGATTTTCCTACATCCTCATGCCCTTGTGGGGACATTGTGTCCTCTTACTGCCACACATTCACACAAACTGAGTTTTATTTTATCATTCCTGCTGAACCTGAAAAATATCAAAGCTTCGCTGCCACCCAGTGTAAGAAAAATGACACTACACTTACAGGAACACCGGGACTCCCTGGTTCTCCGTCTCTGCCAGACTCGCCCTGTAAACAGATACATCATGATTAACAGACGGTTTGTGTGAGTTTGTTTACATACATGCCTGTGTGGCTTTGTGTGGTGTGTATGTTTGAGTGTGTTTGTGTGTGTGTGAGGGGGTGAGATTGAATGTGTGCCAAAACTAGGTGTGTGTGTATTCCTGTGTGCCAAGTCTTCATTTTGTGTGTGTGTAAGTGGAGAAAAGGTCATGATTACCACTAGCAGCCAATAAGAGAAACCCGTGGAGGGAGAGGATAGGAATTGGCTCGTGGTGACCTTTAACAAACCTGACTTTTTATCTGGTGTGTGTCTTCTCAACTGAATCCTGCAGCACTACACACACACACACACACACACACACACTGCTCTACTCTCTCTCTCTGTGCTCCTCTGGGCCGTCACACTGTCTTCCATTAGTGCGTGTAAAAGCAAGCAGCTGAATCAGAGCATTCATCACATGCTTTGATTGTTCACTCTCTGACTGATGCTGCGTTTGCGACGGTTGAGGCACACCGGGATGACTTTTTATTGCCACAGTGCTGAGGTGTTGATTTGTGCATGCTGGGTAAAGCTGCAGCTCTATGATTACCGGCGGAAAAGACACAAACTTGAATAACCTGCAGCACGAACTGCACAAAGTTTCATGTGTATACTGTTTGATACATGTTTGCATAAGTTAAGACCGGCTTCTTTTACACTTACTCGAGCAGACTTTAACAGTTCTCATGAACTCAAAGGCTGATGTAAATCACAGAAATACAACAACACAGATTTTTGCTGAACTCATGCTTAACAGTCACCAGGGTCAAAGCAGTGATACGCATGTGTTTAAGCAGCTCGGCTTTTTGAGAGCTCTGACTTCACCCCTCACTCTGATGTACACAGAACAGTATCAGGATGAGGCAATACGGGGGAAAAACAAACTTTTTTATGTTTGTTTGAAGCTTAAACTTTCAATATTAGTTCAAAATATTGGTAAAGCTACAGTAAATTTCAGGATCAGAGGAGGATCTGAATTTTGGGAATGAAGATGAAACATGACAGACATGGACTGAATTCTTAAAATGCATAGAAATTAACCACCTCCTCTGACAAAATATAAATATGTCACTCTAAGGTTGTCTGGTCCCGTCGGATACAATTATCTATAACCCCTATGCTTAAGTATTTTTAGAGAAAAGGTGTTGTATTATAAACAGATTTGACTCACTGCATCACTCATTCATCAAGCCTGCAGCAGGGAAGAGAGCACACCTCCCCCTGTTTCACATGCATACATGAAAAGTCAAGGCAGGGAGAGCAGCAGCAAAGACCACCAACAGAGAGGACATTTATGACAAGACATACGACCATGGTAAGATCAGACACAGCGTAAAAGGAGGAGATGAAGAGGAGGTGGGTTGCAAAGCAGTTGCAGAGGAAGCAGCAAGAGAAGACAAGCTGTAGCAGTTAGAAAAGAGTGTATTAAGGTGAGGTTAACAGCTGAACTGTTGGCTGATATGGGCTGGTGGTAGGATAAGCTGATGTACTGAGGGTTTAGTGTGACTTTCCTGTTGTGCCTGAATCACAACGCCACACTTATAAGTTTGAACATAAAAAGTTACAGCCTCGTTAGGCTTCTCAATGACCCTTAAGTACTTTTTTCAACCCCTGTGACACTGACTAAAGCCTCTGTACACAGCTAGGCAATCAGATATCACAGTATATTATTAAATGCCTTGCAATATATTGATTGTTGCGTTATGGATCATGGCCGTGTAGTTTGCATCCTGGGTCACCTTGCACTTTCCCTTCTCACAGCCAGGAATGTCTTACTTTTGAATTCCAGTCAGAGAACAATGCAGTGTAAACACAAAGGTCAAAAATGCTGTAAAAGCACTGAAAATATATATATATATTTTATTTACAATGCTGTATTATGTCTTGAGGTATACTGATACAGGATATTTTTATGCCGTGAACGGAGAGCTAATCCTTTCACAGACCTCATCAGGTTATTTTGTAAAAATGTACATGAGAAAAACCTCGGCTTCCTGCTGAGTCCCTGTTTTGTTTGGGTCTCATGACAACACAAGAAGATGCACACTCGTGTTCACAAGCTCATGGGAAATGAGGTACACAATCCTGCTGACAGTTATATGCACTGAGAGCAATGAGCCAGCAAACAACAGGGGTAGAAGAAGACTTCTGTTTGGTGTAAACAAAAAAAAAGTTGGCTTTTCAAATGATTTATGATCGAAGAAATGCCTTTAGCACCTTTTTTCAGATCTCAAGGATACCCACAGTGTTACTCTGATGATGTAGACAACAAGAATGAAATCAGAGGAAATTTTTTCAACTTTAGCAGTTAGAATTTCAAAACTCTGCTGCAGTTTTGACCTGCAGTGATGTCTCCCATTGCATATAGTTTGGCTAAATTCTCACTCAGTAACTCTTTGATATTGGTTACAGTAAAAGCAGTGTCCCTGTTTTAAAATAGGTCGTAGACATATGCATTTTTGGATGCAAAAGACGACATAAAGTGGCATTTCAGTGTTTTTCACTCTTGTTTCAATTGTATTGTGTAAGTTTACTTCCTTCAGGCTCTCAAATAAAGTGATGTTAACAAACTGTGCAGCCAAAGGAGTTAGAGCTCCCCCTGCTGACTGGCTGCAGCACAGGTCATAGTATTGCTGCTAACTGTTGATTTAATTAGATTAAATCTGCTTTTAAATTAACAGTTAGTTACACTAACAGGATTCTTATATACATAACTATCTCTTCTCTGTTACCATGAATTGAAGCTCAAAGGGCTGTTGATTCAACCCATTCAGATCTTACTCTGAGTGCACTTTTGTGCTCCTCATACCACCTCATACTGACTTCTACCAGAAGAAATGCGGTGCCTACATTGTGTTATTTTGGGGCATCAGGCCCACTGACCCAGCAGATGGATCTTATTTGACAAGTTAAAAGTATGAACCCACTGGACCTCCACCTGTGCTCTGTTGATTTGTAATCAAAGTCAAATTATGTGACTGAATCCTCATTGCATATTTATGAACTCATGACCTGGTGCATGTTACTGTTAATGGAGAGAGGTGAATAAACAGCACAGTACCTGGTGACCTTTGAGGCCTGGCTCTCCTCTCTCCCCCTGCAGATAATACAGACAACAAAACATCACAACATGTCCAACTCCCAGTCCTCTCTGATTCTTCTTCTGACACCGACAGTCTTACAAGAGGCTGCTTGATGAATTATAACCTAAAGCATTAATGTCATGTTGTCAGCATCCTGTTCATAAAAAGAAAATACAGCATGTTAACCAGACTGATCTGCATGGTGATGGCTTATAGTGTATTTACTGCTTTTGAAGTGTGAAGGACAACCTTCAGCCCCATTAAAATGTATCATGTCATCTTAGAAACATATGAATAATACATTAACAAGGGTGTGTATTATGTTAAGCTGTCAACACTTCCACAGCATGACATGTAAATGTACAAACTCCTGACAACCAAGGTTATGAATCATTCAAGAAGTGCTGCCTCTGCAGCCATTGATGGTTTCATAAAGACCAAATAAAATCATGAATATCTTTACATTTATACATGTATGTTTTTGAATGCATCAGCTCACACCTTGTGACCTTTGAACCCTGGCAGTCCGGCAGCACCCGGTATCCCCGGGAAACCTGGCTCCCCTATTGAGCCCTGAGGAGTTGAGAGATTATTGACACTTGGAAATCAATGGATGACATTTCAGCTGGCTCATATGCAGTTTAGCCCTGCCATCAGGGGAAATAGAGGGTAAAGTGACCCCATCCCAAAGCCCGGAGGGAGCCGAGACAGAGGTCTGTGGTTGACCCATGAATGGAATCAAGTACAATCAGTTTCCTGCCGGCTTATATAACTGACAGTCAAATGTAAGTGTATTGACGCCATATTTTTGTGAAGACCATCCATCAGAAACATTTCAGCATTACATCTCATACCCAACAATGGATTATAGCTTTTACAGTGAATGTGTAATTTTAACAGCCAGCTTATCAAAACTCATCCGAACGTAGGGCCTCATAAAGAAAACACAAAAGCTCAGAGAGGACAGAAAATGAAAGCAGCAGAGACCACTATAGGCAGACGAGCTTGTTGGTAAATGTAGTATAAGTAATTTTTGAAACTGCTTTAACAAAGCTATGATATCATCACCTGCTTGTAAGTCAAGGTCCTACTGAATGGTTTCTGCCTATAAATTGCCAAATACCCTCTTCCAATTAGACCTCCCTGAGCGCATGCTCAGCTGAAAGTTGGACCTATTCTTGGATCTCAGCTGTTGAAAAGACTTGAGCAATCTTACCAGTAAAGGTTTGTCTTTGTATGGTCCTTTTCACAAACATGACAAACAACATTTTCATGTTAAATATTAAAAGTAAAAGTGAAGGAAAACCTGCCCACAGAGGTCTAACTGGAGCTATGCGATTCAAAAGTCCAGGCTGAGTCTAAACTTTGCTGTTTCCAATATTAAAGTGAGTTTACCTCAACAGCACTTAAAAACTTATTTAAAGTTGGTGAGCTCATAGATGTCATACATGAGCCAGTGAAGGGCTAACTGCACTCATGCTGAGCTGTTTTACAAACTCTCAACGTTTATTGAAACTTCTAAGATCGTGAAGAAAACACGACAAACTACAAATTTCACAGTTGATATTGCCTCATTTCAAAACAACAGCAGTAAAGACCTACTCCAATGAACATCCTGTTTTTCTAGTTGTCTACATGTTCATATGGCATTTTTCTGATGGTACAGGACATATAATGAGAAAAATAAGAGCAAAACTGCATTTCTGAGTATTTCTGCATTCAAATCGCTGTGAATCTCTGGCAAACAGGTTCAGGTTCAGATTCAATGAGATTTCCTATGTGGCAAATCCAAGCTCCACCCCCGGAGCCCGTTATATAGGCCAGACTCGGAGAAGTAGAAAGGACAATCGTGCGACAATTGTGGGACAAGTGTGTGCTTTAGCGGATTGCAGTGCTAGTAAGAAAGTTAATTAGGATATTAGCTTTCATCAGGTCCCCAAAGACATTAGTGTCCAAGAGCTAAATAGCTACTATGTTACCTGCTACTTCTAGTACATCAGCAGTGTTAGGCTACAAGCTAAAGTGAGGGAGAGTGTGCAGAGCAATGCTGTCTCCGCCCACGACTCAGAGGTGAATTATTAATGAGCTACTGGAGCTCTGCAGAAGAAAAGTCCTCGAAAATGACACAGGTAATGTGATTTTGAATAAAAACTTAATAATCACAATTTAAAGATGACTGAGAACACTTTAAGTTGTAAAAAAAAAATGACCAGAGTGGGACCTTAAGTGGAGGTCCAACTTCCTCAGCTGCAATCAGATTCTCTCGCAAAAACACCCCAAAATATAGCTTAAAAAGTAGAAGTCACACAATGTAGTTAGGTTACAGTCCATGTGACTTTTTTGAATCCAAACACTGTAGTGGCTCTGGAGTCCTGGTTTTTTAGGAAAGTCCTGGTGACTTTAGCTTGGACATGGACTTGAGCATTGAATGCATTCAGTCTTAGAGGATCAAGAGGTATGACTGTTGGCTAGCTGCTAACGCATGATAACAGTCCAAGATGGTCAGTCAAAGTTCTGGTGGGCCGCAGGTGTTTTTGAGTTTGTCAGACAGAACTTTGAATGTTGCTGGAGTAAAAGAAACTCTCTCCACCGTGAATCAAGGCCGGTTAGATAGGACATATAGAGATGTTTGAGCTGTAGCTTCTCAGGCTCTCCCATACTCATAAATACATCACTTTCTAAAAGGTAGTCATTTCCACTGCGATGAACAGCACCTCAAAAAAGTTAAATAAATCAATAAAACAAAGCTTGTGCAATTAAGTAAAGAGTGATAAGTCAGATTCCCTTTTAGAAAAACAACAATGGTTGACATTTATGGGAGTAATTGCTCAGAAAAATGTCACTTATCAAACAAGTGGCATTTTAAGTGTGGCTGTCAGTCATCAGCAGGATCCAAACTGCAGGCTGCTGAGAGTGTCTGAGAGGATGAGAGGAAACAGACGGAGAATGAGGTTGGTTTAGAGAAGAGAAAAGAGGAGAGCGGTCACCCTGATCTGATCCTGGTGCCTCCAGGGGGATTAGAAATGCCCTCACTAACCTGCCCACCATGTTGAATTTTAAAGTCCTGCTGTAGTGCGGCCATTGGAACAGAATTACTGGGACTGAGCAATAAAGATACAGATAGTGTCCGTGCTCATAGTGGTTGAAGGCTAGTGGAGGCCATGCAGGATGAGTCATACAAATGCTTGAACTGAACGGCAAAAAGAAAAAAGGTAGGGGTCTGCACTTTCTGATCTAGGTCTATTTTCTCTATTTTTAAGTTCTTTTTTGAGTTTTTAGCCTTTGTAAATAAGGAAAGCCACAGAGAGGAAGGAAATAAGGGTAGCAGGGTTTGTGGGAGGGCCAACAGCAAAGAGCCGTGGACATTAGTTGAACCAGTGATCGCTGTGATGATGACTAAAGCCTCTGGGGTGTGCACTTAAAGCACAAAGCTGACCTGCACTCCTGGTACACATGTTTAAACAAGGGCCACATTTGACATACTTTGGGGCCTGGATGACTGACTCAGTCGGGCTGTAATGGCAACCAAAATGAGGACTGCTACAGAAAAAGACACAACTTGATTCAGGTAAGGTCACAATTCATACCACATCTAATCAAAATGTGCTGTTAAACCACTCTGGGTGTGTAAAAAGACCAAAGGCCCTGGATGCCCACATATACACACTCACTGACTTGAGTTTGTGAGGGCTCAGAGCTGTCCCACTGTCCAGGTGTGAAGTGTTAGAGAGACCTCTTTATGCACTTCCTCTGTAAGTGAGAATAACTGCAGACTTAACATGAGGAAAATACTCATAGTTCATAGACAATGGAATAAAGGAAGGCTTCAAAGAAAAGACGTTTATAAAGATGTAAAGATGACTTCAAACCACTTAGAGTCCCACTCCGATCTTTTTTTTTGGACTATGAAGTTTTTAGCCAAAATCACATTAACTGTCAAAAAACTTTGAAAGCCTTTTCTTCTGCAGAGCTCCAGTAGCTTATTAGCAATTCACCTCTGAGTCGTGGGCGGAGACAGCACTACTCTTCACACTCCTCTTCATGCTAGCTTGCGGCCTAACATTGCCAGTGTGGCAGAAGTGGCTAGGTGACGAGCTATTCACCTCTCGGACATGATGAAAGCTAATATCATAATTAGCTTTCTTACGAGCATTGCAATCCGCTAACGCACACGCTTGTTCCGCCATCGTCCTCTCTACTTCTCCGGGTCTGGCCTGCAGAGTGGGGTGCCAGGGGCGGAGCTTAGGTTTGTGATGTAAAAAAATCTCATTATGTCTGAACCTGCCATTTGAGTCTGCAAGAGGTTCACAGCGTTTTAAATACAGAAATAATCAGAAATGCAATTTTGCACTTAATAATAATGCATCAGATTTCATATAGCGCTTTATCAGAGACCCTCAAAGCGCTTTACATTGGATACATCATTCATTCGCTCACACAGTCACACTTTGGTGGTGAATATATTATGAACATATAGACAACAAGAAAAACATAATTTTCATTAGCGTGGGTCTGTAAGACACCCCTGCATGTGTGACAGCACTTTCACTTGAGAGAGAATAGCCTAGCAACTCTTGATTTAATCTAAGTGCTTGTAATTATCCAACAGGAATAAATTACGCAAGAAGGCACTGCCGGAAATGAGCAGAATTAAAGGCAGACAGAGGGAGACACCGCAGGAAATCAAAGAGGACAGAGGTAAAAGAAAACATTGTGGTTGATAATCCGGCGCTACACTCACCTTCTGACCCGGTGGACCAAAAGGACCAGAAACCCCTGGATCTCCACACTTCCCCTGAGAAATAACACACTCCATATTAGTCTCATAATGTCTCAGCAGAGGCTTTACTGATTGCATGCATTCCTAAACTAATCCTTAACATAAATCTCAGGGCTTTATTTCATCCGTCACTAAGACCAGCGCACAGGTCAAAGAGGGCATTTCAGAGTAACTGCTGTTTTGCATTCATGTAGGTGCAGCACAGCATGCAAAAAGAGGCTGGCTGAAGTGGAATATAAATCACAGCATGTGGTGATTAATCATTATCCTCTCAGCCAGTCCCATTACTGCTCTCTTCCCTGTTAAACAGCCGGGCCAGCCACACAAGGTAAGGTAGGGAGTGGTGTATCAGGAGAATGGCTCAAGGAATTTAGAAGAAAAGCAGATTTTCTGACAGGAAGACTACACCGCAAGGCTGGAGATGACTGAGATTCAGGGAGACCACATACACACAAAGTCTACATCAGAGGTTACAAAAGAAAGCCTACGAATAATCTGAGTTTTGAGCATTCAAAAGCCATTTTTTAAATACATATATTTGTATTCAGAACCTTCTGTGGGGTAGAATTTTAAAACGGAAAACACAAAATTATATAAATGGATCTCTGTTTGCCACTGACTTTACTGATAATAACCGAAAAGCACAGTCCTCAAATTGGCTTTTTAATTTTGATATTTTTTTCTGTCCATTTTTAAAGTTTTTTATTTCTAAATCCAACTCTGCTTCTACTTCTGAAATATTGCAAGTTACAGAACTGAAAAAAAGAGAAATGTCTAGACGGTATAAATAGCAAAAATAACTGATTAGTCACCCAAACTCTGAGGCTGTTCAAAAAAATGTCTTTACTATCAGTTTAAATAAGTGTTGAACCATCCCTCAGGGAGCTGCTACAACTAGTTTGCAAGCAGCTGCTGCTTCTTTTTGTCTGTTTTTCATTTTATGACACATTATCCCTTTAATGCTGGTTGCATTAAAGGGATATTCCAGCATAAGTTTAAGTTATGGTCAAACTCACCATAACACCGAGTTAGACACCCCCTCGAGAGATTAATGTTGCAGACTGCTTGCTTCTCTAGTTATACCAACTTAAGTAACAACCCCATGATAGCCATACACAGCGGTTTACGTTTCCACGGGCAAACCTCGACCAAAATGCCACTCTACAGCAGCAAATAATGCTCAGAACAGCACCTAACTTCATCAACAGTACATATAGGGCCGCAGCCATAGTACTAGCTAACAAACATCTTTTTAACTTTGCCTGATTTCTTTAGCAAAGAGACTAAACACAACTCTCCCGCTCTCCTCCTGCAGCCACCTGTTTGTGGGGGAGCCCTGACGAGTCGATCACCGAGTGCAGTGGGGTTTTGCAGCTCAAGGAAGAACATTTATGATCATTACTTCATGGATTTGCATTCAGAGTTCTTGTGTATCTTGTATGTGAACTGCAGACGCGGTAGTTCTTCTGCTTTAGCGTCTGGGTCTGGTTGCATTTCCATAAAGTCATAATCATAAATGTTCTGCTGCACTCGGTAATCGACTCGTCAGGGCTCCCCTACAAACAAGTGGCTGCTGGAGGAGAGTGGGTGAGTTGTGTTTAGTTCGGTAGTTCTAACTCGGTGTTACTGTGTGTTTGACCACAACTTAAATTTATGCCAGAATATCCCTTTAAGAACCACTAGCATGAACTCAAAGACTTTAGCATCAACACTAGTTTATTACAACAGCCCCAACTGAAATACTCAGTCATACTGACAGTCACGTAAATATCCGGCTGTTTCATTTCTAATTTGTACAAGATGCTCCTGTAAAGGTCTGACTTGTTGTTGTTTAGCCTTGTAATATGTGTGTGTAGTTATTTTGCAGCAGATGTCAGTTACGCACAATTCAATTGCGACAACAACCGCACATTTTTGTGTGTAATAGTGTTGTTGTCATCTGCCGCCTATCAAACACACAACCTCAGACTGCAGCAAGTTTAATCAGCTGAGAGGCGACTTTCCATTCAGGTGTAAACGTAGGTGTTTATCTAAATGAATTCACTGGCTGGGGTGTTTATAATTAGAGGTGCTTATTTGAGTGAGGGGTATGTTTTCTTTCTGTTTGTGTCGAGTGACTGATGGAATCACTAAATCATCCCAGCCTTTGAAAAACTAGCCCGCTCCTCTTCACATTCCCGGCACAATGTCAAAGAGCCAATTTTCACCCTCATATGCATGAAGCTCCCATCTTTCACTCTCATCTCCCCCCATAATCTTTGTGCTGCCTGTGCTGCGCTGAGTATACAAAGTCCAAAGGGATGAGGAATGTGCATTTCAAGGACAGGGGGAGCATGAACATGCACCTTGCTCTCGTCTTAACAAGAAAAAGGCCAATCCATCAGACAAAACTCAGCTAATTTGTCATTTTTGCAGCCTTTTGAGGTTAAAAGTCAGTTTAGCTCGGTAGTTGGTGCTTTGATTTCCACAACTATCTTATGACTAAGCCTCTTATAATCCTCTGTAATCAAAAAAACTTTGCTCAAGTGCAGTTTCCAAACATTTTGTTCTTTCTACAACAAGCTCCAACATAAAGAAATACTGTAGAGCCATAATTTGCATGTCTAAAAGTGTCAAAGAGAGTAAAAGTAAAACTTGTTTGTTGAAGGAGAACGGTCCTCAGCAGTGTGGCGTTCGTCACATATTCAGAAACACCTATAATTTGATTGCAAACAAGTCGACTCCCTCTCGAGCAAAATGCTTTTTTCTCTACGGGAACATCAAGAGAACAGGGAGGGAGGGTACAACATTAAAACAGGCTGAGAATAGCCGAGCGGCTGGGGAGCAGCAGGCCATTAGCATAATAACTAATTATAACGTTCAACGCACAGACCTTGGGACCAGCTCGGCCGATCTCTCCGGGTGGCCCCCGGGGCCCCTGGATTCCCTGGATGGAGAGAGAGATATTGAAGGAGAGGGGAGGGGACGAGAGAGGGTGGGGATGACGGGGTAGAAAGAGAGAGAAGATGAAATGAAAGAGACAGACACAGAGCTTTGAGCTGAATGTGACAGAGTGCGTGACGGCTTAGTCAGGAGTTACAGAGGGAGAAATGAGATGGCTCAGTTCCACACACACACACACACACACACGCATGCACGCACGCATGCACACACACACACACACACACACACACACACACACACACACAAATGATCACGTTAAGTCATGCACAATCACATCAAAACACTTAATTATTGAGCAATAGCTTTCTGATTTTGAGCAAGTGCCATCAGTGACACTTTAGAGACCTGAGCTAATGTTAGCTTCATCAATCATTCGAAAACACTGTCTCAAGACAAGCTATACAGATTCCTTATCTAATATGAAGCATTTCAAGGCCTGAATTAGTTGCTATGCATTATTATACATGTTGCTCTTCAAGGTGAGGCTATAATCTGATTCAACAGAGGTTAGTCTCTGTCATACTGTAATATGGGACATGTGAGCAAAATAAGAGAAAGTGGTGGTACCATGGCCTGGGATAGTGAAGGCAAGGCAAGTTAAATTATGTAGCACAACTCAGCAACAGGGTCATTTCAAGTGCACTACATCAAAAGGAACATGACAAAAATCTGTGAAAACTCACCAAAGGAGACATTTAAAAGTCATTCATAGAAACCGTTAGAATATGAAACAAAGACAGCAGAGAGTTAAAATACTAGACTTTCAAAATAAAAGCAGCTAGTTTCAGCAGACTTTATACTATCTTGGATTTTGCAGGTATCTGAAGCACACAAACTAAACACTGCTTCTCTGCATTTGGTTCCGACTCTGACAGCAGACCCGTCCCCAGAGGACTTGAGCGGTTTGGATAATTCATACTCTATGAGAAGATCCTGTATTTTGGACCTAAACCATACAGTACCTCACGATTCAGCTGCAGTATTTCCAAATCTGTTTCCTGACAGACAGGGGGCCAGTGAGAGGACCTAAGAGCTGGACTGATGTGATCTGTTTTCTTGGTCTGAGTGAAGGTTTTTGACAGCAGGGTTTAAAATCAGCTGCAGCTCTTACAGAAATGTTAGTTATCAAGCTGATTAGAGGGAAATGCCGGGGCCTTTTTAGTCCAGGTCCCGCTGGGATATAAATTACTGAATCCTTGATATAGTCTGTGGGTGATTAGGTCTTATTGTGGTTTTAAAATCCAGCTCTGAGTCCAGGTGTATAAGCTGCAGCTGTATTGTCTCCTCAGAAAAGGCTTCACTCGTGTTTTTTCTCTCTACTAACCAGAACAGACATTCAGACATCCAGCTGACATGCTGTACATCCTCCTTTTGGATAAAGCTTATAGTCAGGGCTGGTTCAGGCTCTTGGTGATGCTGCTAGATCTGGTAGCTGGCTGGCTTTAAACCCTCTGGTTAGGGCTTGGAGATAAAATGGTAATGATATATATCGAAAATTGATTTCCCTTAATATAAAACATGGTCAATATGCTTTTCAAAAGTCGGCATTCTGCCATATTTTGGTTGACTATAGGAATAGCCAATGAAAGGGGGAGTTGCTCCGGGTCTGCTTCACACTGAATCAATCATGTGCTGAATTAGAACCAAGTAGCAAACAACTGCATAGTAGCAGACTGCAGCTACACGCAACCATAGCACTTTAACACGTGAAGCCTACAGCACTGTTTGTGACAAATAAAAGAAAAGAAGTGCTACCCCCGGTAGAAATGCAGATGAAGGCTCAACAGATGACGACATCATCGACAACACTGGCACGAAAACGTCGGTGGTGTGGAGGTATTTTGTTTTTTTGAGGTCGGACATGAAGCAGGGTAGTGTTTACTGCAAATTATGTCGAGCTCATGTTCCTGCAAAGTTGGGGAACACCTCAAATCTTTTTCACCACCTGAAGCAGTGTCACAAGGCAGAGCACACACAATGCAAAGGTTAGCAAGGAACCCATGGCGCCTGTGCAGCCAAAACAGCCGACCATTCAGTCCGCTTTCTATGGCGCAACGCCTGATGACAAAACGTTGAAGAGACACAAAGACCTCGCAGATGCTGTAGCTTATTGCAAAAGACACACAACCAATAAGCACTGTTAAATATGATTTTTTTATGTCCTGATATATATCAATACCAACTGATAAGAAAAAAAATGTATCTTGATAAACTCTTTCCCATATCACCCAGCCCTACCCCTGGTTATGGGGCTGTTGGGCCATTGTGGAGCTGAAGGTCTGAGTTCAGCACAGGGGTAGCAATAGCAGAGCAATGACTAGAAATCCTGCAGTTTAGACCACCTGATTTTAGGAGTGACACTAGTCAAGTGTGAAGCAAGTGCAGCTCCCCGACTTAGCTCCCATTTACCGTTACGACCACATCTTTCCTTTTTCAGGTGTTTGATCACACCACATTTATGATATAGATCTAAAAACGACAGGAAGTTTTGTGTGCATGGGAAAGTTATTACAGAGAGGTATTCACGCCTGACTCCACTAATGTTTGAATGTCAAGCACATTTTAGGAGGAAGAATAGATTCACTGGGTGAGAGCTTTTTCCCTTTTAATATAGTTTCAATACATTTCACAATTCAAAAGCAAAATGAGTCAAAACTCATTTTAAATGACTCATGGTGACATTTGCACCCCAACATTTTGAGCCATTTTCCTGCGGCTTTAGCACTGAGTCATAAACGAAACAGAGAGTGAGTGTGAAAGCAAACCGAAACACAATGACTTGATGATGAATTCAAATAAAATACGCCGTTTCAAGGAATAAGGAACATAAAAGCGTCCGTTTATTGATTTATAAAGAGCCAGACTAAGAGTGTGCACATCTGAAATGCCAAATTTGATTGGTGTTGGCCGGGTCAACTGACAATTAGTTTGACTTCTCTCTAAATTTATTATCACAATATTGTATGCAGTTGCCTAGACACAGAAGCCGTCAGCTCCTTCCTCCCCATCCTTCCTCCTACTCCCCCTCCTGACTCTGTGTATGTGTGTTGGAGAAGTCAGAGATCCACTGCAGGCAGGACGTCATAGCAGTGCTCAGGAATAGAAAGAGGGGGATGAAGATGGAGCTTGTGGTTTCAGAAAGGTGACCTCTGTGCTCTCAGATCTCTGCAGTGGGCTACTTCTAAATTCAGCTGCTTTAAACAAGACAGAAAATATGAGGCACTCTTCAAACTGATTTGACTCTATTTCATAATTGCTTTCCATCCAAAAGTTCATTACAATATTTAATTAAGATTATTCGCTTATTTTCCATTTGGTATGCTAATTCATGTCCATCCACCACTTAATCTTAACAGCTTTTCATGATGCAAATTAAATATAATGCCTAAATGTATTTTTAAGCATCATTCTCCTCTAACCATGGAGCTCTACTGTGTCTATTCTTCCACAAGAGGGCAGCAGAGACATAAACATCCGCCCCCCTATGATCACCATAGAGGCCTGTGTCCTCACAAATGTCTTCTTTAATTGCATCTGGTCGAGTGTAATCTTGTTTACCAGATGGGGGTGCCCTTTCTGTGTGTGCAGCTCTAACCCAGCACACACACTCATCTGACTTTCATTCTAAATTAACAGCCACTCAGCACCTTAATGGCATTGCTAAATAAACCAAACGGTCTCATACGGCGTCTGGGCAAAATTAATGATCTCATTATGAGCCGACTGCAGAGACGGTAATGTGAGCGGTGCTGTGTGTGGAATTCTTTTCAAGGAGAGATTGCAAGAATGAATCCCTCACAGAGAAACACAAAAACAGCTGAAACAGACACCTTGTGACAGAGGGAACAATTAGAAAAATGCTGTAACCTTGAGAGTGTGCAAGAAAATTCATTTAAATCAGTATTTCTGCTTGTTGGGATGCAACTGTTTGGCAGACTCCACTCGACTCATCACTCAGCTTGGACTAATGAGCAGTGAGGACTCAAACTATAAGACACAAACTTTTTTTACTGATAATAACCTTTTAATGATAATGCTGGGTAAGAGGGCTGACACCAGCATATGTGAAAACGTTGATATTTTTCAGCCTTGACCCTATTTTACCAAGAGTTTGACTGATGGAAAGGACAATTTTTGAAATTGGTCCAGTGTTGAGATAGAGCAGAGTAGCCAGTAGGCAAAAAATGAGTTAGAATGTAGTCTGTCCGGCAACTGCACATCATCAAACTGCATCTGTTACAAGTGCTTTGTTGCACCGCAATCAGGCTCAGATTGTTGTTACAGGTTCCTAGAACAGGAAGGCAAGGGTTTCCCTACCTAACACCTGTGCTGGTCTGTGTGCAACCAGATCTTGTTTGCAGAGAAGTGCCATTCTGGCATCTTGCAAGATCTAACTTGTTGCAGGAAGACAACATAAGGCATGTGAGTGAGTGACACCAAGAGAGTCAGAGAGGACCAGAAGTTTTTTGATAACAGTTAAGGAGCAAAGTTTAGAAACATGGGTGACTATATGCCTGATGAGGTCTTTTGATATGTTATCAACCATACCTTCAAGTTAACAAGCAAACAAGGAGAGAGGCAGAGGAGGGTGAACCAGCTGCTGGAAGGCCACAAAGCTTGGGAGACTAATGGTGTTCCTGTGGGTGCTGTTTGCCCACAAAGAAGGAATATCTTTGTTGTGTTGACTGGGACCTGTTGATGTCTAACTCTGTTGGTGTTGATGTGTCCAGGGTGGACACAGTTTGATGATGCCTGTCAATCTACATTTAAGCTCACTTCCGCTCTCAGTACTGGACCAACTGCAGAAATTGTTCCTTCCCCATCAGCCAATCACACATAAACATGGGAGAATAGGACCCAGGGTGAAATATATCAAATCTCCCCAGTTACTTGGCGTCTTGTGTGTCTGTTTACTTCACACTAAAAAGACAGGTGATCCCTGGTGTTTTTTCACCTTTATTGGAAATTTGTTGGTAATTACTCCATAAAAGATGAGAAAGTTGGATTTAGGATCCTTCTGTGTCTGATTTAGACCCTTTAAACCCTGACTTCAAGCCTAGGCAGTTTTCTTGAGAAACTGAATTAAACTTGACTTTGTCAGCAGGTAAGGGAGTCAGGCTCTCTTCAATGATCTGAATATAATTAGATCTCCCAGAGACCTTAGTGTGTTAACAGTACAGCGTAAATCCCCACAAATTAAGTTTTCTACATCCACAAAGTTAACTTATGCATCAGAAGGGATTGTTAACTCCTGTTTGTTACCTGCAAAAAAATCTCAGTGTCTTTGTTGGACACATAGGAAAGTCTTTGAGCTACAGATCCAAAAGTCTGTCAGGTAGAAATTAAAAGGTCAGGCTAGTAAAAGGGCTTTACACCAGTTAAATACCTGCTGTTTTATACTCTATCAGACCTAATCTGTAAATGTCCTCATTACATTAAACTACTTTAGCCACAGGAGCTATGAAGTCATCAAAAATTCACAAAAAATAACTATTGTTTTTAAAACGTAAGATGGCACATAAATGTAAAAGAAATATCAGTATTAATTGATGATTTCTCAAATATATACCTTTTAGAAAGCTTTCTTAATTGTTATTTTCACACAACATATCATCATATGGAAATCTGGCAAAAGAGCAGTTGTTTAAATGTTTGATACTGACTGGTCCATTTGTCCCAGATGGTCCTTGAGGCCCGGGTGACCCTGTTTCTCCCTGAAAAGAGATTTCAAAACAGCAAATTAAACAATAAGAAGTATTTGAATTCACAAATAAATGACTGGTTAGTTTATGATTAAGTTACCTGTAGTCCCTTTGGCCCTGCTTCTCCAGGAGGTCCCCGAATCCCCTGCAGAAAACACAAGAAAGGCCTGACAAGTTTATCATGCTTTCATCATGCTATCATGCTATCATGCTCTGGTGTGTTAAGTTTAAATTCAGTGTAACATTGCTCACTCACACATGTGTCTCTGACTCAAATCAAATAGCCAATGTAATGAAATAGACACAACTCCAGCTAAAGTACACTTACTCCCGCTGGTCTGAAGTTCAGGCTTGCTAAGTTACAGTGAAACTGAACTTTTTCTTTTAGTAATGTATTGAATTCCCCCTCAGGGATAAATGAAGTTCTTCTTATCTTAACTTTTCTTACTCCAAAGATCGTCAATCTTTCTTTAAAATAAGAATCACATCCTATAGATTGTTGACAAGTCAAGAGAAAGCCCAGAGTTTGTTACTATTTTTGTGTTTTGCCAAGTAAATCTCCACAATTTCAAAACCACAAAGTAAACTCATGTGATGGTAATGATATACCTGCATAGAGGAAATATAGATAAGGGCACATTATGCAGCTCCACCCTGTCATGTCATGGATCATGTGTCAGGCTGTGATCTAGGTTTGGTAAATGGCTTTCTGCTGAAGACTCCCTTGCTTTAGTGTAATTGCCAATGGATCATATTGAAGGATAAAAGTGTTTTGGAGTCAGACGATGTGAACCTGCACTGATGATACTACTGCAGATAAGTTTGCTGTGTGTCTATGTGTGATAAAGTAACTGAAGTGTAATCTTCGAGGTTTGAATAAGTCTGATGGATTCGGTTATCAGCAGATGTCTGACACGGTGGCTTTGCTTTAATAAGAACATCGGGGCTTCCTCGTCGGTGGCGTCAAAAGAAATCCTGTTTACTCTCTGCCACCCTCTCTGGATTTATCTGTCTCTAAAAATGTAATTCAATGCCACACTTTAATGTCAGAAGAGACAAAAGTAGGTTGAAGAAAATACTCCAGAGCTAATTTCATGAGATTAAGTCTGAACTATTGACCCTGTTCTAACAGCTGTCGCTTTTCCGGTACCATTGAGGATATTTTCAAGTTATTCTGAATGAAAGTATGAGGGTTTTCTAAAGATAAAAAATAGATTAATGAGAAAAAAATATTCACACACACATTAAGTAAAGCGGGTCCTGCATCGTGACATTCGACTGACTCATCCATCTATCAGCAGCAGGATACAAGATCTGCCCTGATTACTGAAACACCATCATAACTTCACTTCCAGGTGAGCAGAGGGCAGAACAGGGACGGGTGTGATGACAGACGAACTAGAGGAGGCAGGGAGGAGGGTGTCTAAAAAGTGCTGAGTGAAGTTAATTAACTTCAGAGTTGTAGTTTAAGTCCCCATGCAGAGGTCACACCAGGTAAGATGCTGGACTTCGTATTGTTCCCGAGTGCAGTGTGTGCACACAAAAGATCATATGGATTAATACTTATGGACACTTATAGCAGCAGTTGTCATCAGTGTATGAATGAGTGAATGTGCCATGAAGAGCAAAAGCACTTGAAGTGATTGGAGGACTTTACAAGCCCTGTGTAAAAACAGACCATGAAATATTTATTATTATTTGCTGATAGAAAGCCGAATATTCATACAAACATTTTTATTAAAATCAATCCTGTTACATCCTGATGGGCTAGAGGTATGAAAAAAGGCAATCCTCACAGAACTAAAGACGATGTAATTATTAACAAAAAGCAATCCTCTCAAAAACAGGACAGCTCATCGAGAACAGATGACAGACACAAATCTCAACTAGGCTTAACTCCGTATAAACTGAGGGAGAATTAAAGAGACGCCACACGGTCTAATACAAGGAGAAATCCCTTTTCAATCACTATTGGAATCACGCTACCATAAAACAAATCTTTAAATCCTAAGATATGTGTACCATAAAACTTTAATCAAACACCCGTTGCAGTTAAATACCAAGACTCTTATATTGGCCACGTGCAGCTGCATGTTTTCATAAAACATACCACAGATCGTGAAAATCTAGTTGTCAGTGCTGCAATTTGGTGTTTCTTTCTTTTGTGTGTGTTTGAGGGTGAGTGGGCATCTTTTTCACTCTACCGCTACTATTTGCTGATAATGAAAAAAGTTTGATCTAAAATTCAAGCTGTCATTTCTTAGGTTTGCTGAGGACAACTCCAGAGAAACAGGGAAGAAAGTTTGATCTTAAAATGACAAAAACATCAAATCTGGTCTTTTGCTTCTTTTTGAGTAAAACACAGTCTAGCCTGAAAAACGCATGTCTACCCAAGGACAGAAACTAGTAATGAGCTGGAGCCCACAATACGCAAGCGGATACATAACAATATATATGGACACAGCGTCTGAGGGTGTCCCACAAGAGTGTCAAGTTAAAAACAAAAATAAAATCTACACCACAGAGAGTGACGGGAGAGATGGGAGGATTTCACCAAGAATGTTGGCTGGCCTGATAGATTTCTTGACCTCCGCAACTTTTAGAAGACGCACGACTGTTGCCCAGAAAGACTCTGGGGCCCGTGTTCACAAATAGCCTGACAAACCATCTCAGAGCAAAGGAGTCCCAGCTTAAGAGTGATTTAGAAACAATCTCAGAGCAACTCTGAGTGAGGAAGAGAGAGAAATTCTTATCTGAGTGAGGAGGCAGGGGCTGACCCTATCTGTATGAAAGCTGTGATTGGCTGATACACAGATAGAAAAAAAATATGGAGAAAATCCAATTCTTTCTCATTCTACCTGAACAGGTAGACCGTTTACGTATTGTTTTCACTGTAGCCTATATGATCAGCATCTCAGATCAATAAAACCATGTAAAGATGTCGGTTTGTCTCATGTTCATAAACTTTTTCATGTTGTCATTTTAAGGAGCATTTTGTATCGATATTTCTCTGCATTCCTTTTACACTCGGCTCGTATGACATGAGGTTGGAACTGTTGCATTTTTCAGGAAGCTAAATACCTCACAATCACTCACCTGTTTGTAAATACAAGTAAAATCTCGAAGTAGGATAAACCACAAGATTAGTTTTTTTAGTTCTCGCTGCATAAGACTTCATTTGAGAGTTTTGTGTGAACAAAAATATAAGATTTCTTTATGTATGAAGGACAAAGATAAGTGAAACAGCTTTTGTACCCAAAGTAGTTATTTGTATCCATCTGTTGTCTTTTCTGTAACAGCATCTAAACAACACTTCAAGACAAAAGCTGTCTCCAAAAATATATATAGACCGTCTTTCACTGCTGCCTTTGTGACTCTGTATATGTCCGCTTGTTCATGTCTGAGTTCCAGTAACAGACAAAGACCCTTAAATGAACATGGAGACAGTTTAATGCAACTACTGTTACAAGGCAATTACAACTGGGACAGTGTAGCATGGTAAAACTATTTACAATAAAAGCTGCATCCACAGCTCTTGTCTCGGAGCGGTTCATGTTAATTTCAGCTTGATTACGAAGGACTTGGGTTCTGGGTTTCTGCACGCAATCTTGTCTGTTAAAGTTGACTGTGTGGTCTGTGCGTTCATATGTTAACATGGGTTTCCCCTGTGTGTTAATAAGAGGTTACAGGGTGTCTAGATATCAGTACTGAAGGCTGTGTAATTAGTGAGGAAAGGAAAAATAAGGACCCCGAGAGGTATGTGGATACATGTAGTGCATGAGTGCTTAGCTTCACACTCTGCTTCCTATAAAGTGTGAGTGTAGGGTTGCGGGGAGTAATGGTTATGACTTTACCAGCATCACAATTACAGTGGCAGGATGTAAAAGTGTGAACATGAAGAGTGCATAAACATGGAGTAACATTCCACAGTCTTGGTTCTCCAAAGACATGTGATGCTTGAGGACATGAGCTTGCAAATGGGAATTTTCCATGTAAATAAACCTGTTTTATTTTGGTCTTTTTCACTGCTTGATATAAAAACATATTAAACTTGCAGTAGAGACAAGCAGAACAGTGTGTGGAATATTTTAAAGCGGAGCCCATTGGCTTGTTTTCATGATAAGCAACCTTTGGGACTCACTGGTACACAGACTTACATTTGTATTCATCCACAAATACTGTTGGAACATTTGTCTGAGGTCAGTTTGGTTTATCTGATATATTACCTGTTATACAAAGTTGCCTGTGGCTCTGATGAGAGAGATACACGGACTGTTTTTGATTAAGGAAAAGGCAAAAAAAAGACACATCCGGAAAGGCTTCTTCTCTGCACTTTGGTCTGAGGCTTAATACCGCAATCTGAGTCTATCAGCTGCACTATCGAGCATCTCTAGTTAATGCATCGTAATATTTGCTGCACAAGATGCTCTTTTTTGTCATCTACAAAGTGAGATGCTTTGTACACAGTACAACCAACATACAAGCATGAGGGATTCTGTTAGGTCATGGTCTTTTACCCAGAAGATCAGGCTTAAACCACTTCCAAAGGCATGAGTGAAAGACTGACCAGACTGGAGGGGCAAGTTTTGAATAAATGTTCTTCCACATTAGGTTATAATTATGTAACAAAACATGTGGACTGCTATCTTATTGAAAAGAATCTTAGATATAAATATAAAATTTTTGAAGTGGGGTTGAAGGAGTTTCAATCTTCAGTCGGTGTACCAGGCACTATGGATGTTAATCCTGTGAGTGAGAAACTGCCAGTAGAAACAAGACGCTAGGTATGCTGCCATCTTCTGCAGGCAGGGCATACCCTGACACTTAATTTAGCTAATTTTGCGAGACTCTAACCCAGGCACTCATTTAGGTTTAGATATGCACTCTACAGATAAATCTTTCTGCACTTTCTTTTGCCACAGAAAAAAAAATTGTGCACTATTTACAGACATGACACAAACATACACTGGAACATGCCTTTGAGACAACAAGTGATCAGTGAAAGGGAGGTTGCATATGTGTTTGGAAGTTAGGTGTGGCCAGTGGGTCCATCCAACTATCAACCCTACTGTAAGCTGGCAGGAAGACATTTACAGACATCACTGATATCACTAGACAGAGCAACACATCTGCATATAAACAGCACATTGCTGAACGGGTTGGAAGTCCTCACTTATTTACCATATTGAACTAAATATGCTTTTTTCCATCTGAAAAAAAGGGTTCATCTTGTATTAGAGGTTGAGTATTTGAAAGCTAGTAAATGTTCCCAACAGTGAACAGCACCACTTATCTGTAAGGCTGGTGTAGCCCTCATGACTGAGAGCAGCTTTCACGCACAACTACAGCTGCATATGGATGAAGGATGTAGAGATCCTGTGATGTTCAACAACTGAGACTGTTTTTAAAATAAATCAGACAGTAGATACATGAGGCGGCTGAGAAAAACTGTGTCACAAACGTAATGTGTGAACATGGGTAGCTATAAAAAATAGGCCACCAGACCTGTCATCCATCAGACAGACTCTATTAAACTAATACAGTACTTTTGATTTAAGTTGAAGTAAAACAACCATTCAACAGCTTCCAGATGTAATGTCAGTCAGTATCAACTCACCATGGCACCTTGAGGTCCAGCAGCACCAGGAAGTCCAGGGTCCCCCATCTTACCCTGTGGACACAACAGACGTGTCAGATCTAGCAAATATTTTTAAGCCAGTTTTACAGAATTTAAGCATTTGAAGATAAAGTAAAGAATAACATGGCCTACTAAAAGAGAAAGTCAAGGAAAAAGGTATAAAATACAAACTGTTACAGGCAATGGCCCTTGTGCAGTGTTGGACAGAATGAATCACAAATCACCTCAACTCAAGATCAGTTCATTCTCTGTTTTGAAGTATGTTCATCTCACAATCTCCATTAGTAGATTTTACAATTTAAAAACCATTTAAACTCAATCCATCAAAACATTAATGTGATCATATCTGTCCTTGACCTCACTGCACATGAGATTTATTAGTCCACGAAGTGCTCTGTGTGGGAGCTGGATTTCTGCATCACATAACCACAGACAAGGGAAAGTTCTGCGATAGGCTGCTAATTTGCCTTGTTGTGAGTTGATGTGCAACAGCGACAGTGACGCATGAACACCAGCTTGCGTGGGGAGTCTTGCGGTCTGATTCTGCGGAGTAAGTCGGCAGCTTGTTAGACGAAAAAGGAACAGCAGCAAACAAGCAAATTTGAAGCCACAACACAACTACAAATTAAGCTTTAACAAATCCAAGACGTAAAAATATACACTTCTCGGTTGTTCCCACTGACCTCTTTCTGCCGTGTCACTGTGTTATTTTGAATGCTTAATATTAAAGTGGTATGTGAGCAGGTTCCAATGTTTACCACTTTAACACACTGGCAATGGTAATATACATGTGAAACAAGCTGTAAAACATACTGTGGTACTTGAAGCCATTCATTTGAAGGAGTTTTTAGGATGTTCCCTGCAGAGCTTGCATGTTTGGTAATTATAGAAATATCTGCAAAGAGAGTCTGTGTGTTTTTTTTGCTTTCACCGATCATACAGCAAACTTCTGCTTTGGGGCTGGTGGACTCACTTATTCAGTATTCAAGTGCAGTGATGTGCACTATGTGTTACTTATTTGCTTGAGTTCATCTTGGTATGTGATGTCATTATTTCACAGTTTTATTTATTAGTACAATTGCAAATGCAGTTCAGCAGCTGAAGCACATAAATACACAACTAATTTCTGCCAGGTAACAATGAGGTGTATCATACTATATCGTGACAAGATAAGATAAGATGTTTCTTTAATAGTCCCACAAGGGGAAATTCCAAATTTACAGCAGCATACAGACATACAAAGAGAAATTAAAGGATAAAGAAACTTAGTTAAGCAAAAAGAAAGCGATAAGTTCATGAGTCATATTTACATGGGTACAGAATATAAATAATATGATTTATTGTACGCTCTAACAAAATACACTGTTTTGATTTCTATTGTATCAAATCGCATTGTGTTGTATCCTACCTAAATGATCATGTTGTATCAAATCATATTGCATCAAATAGTAGTTCCCATAATGTATCATAACTTATTGTATCATACTGTTCTGTATTGTATTGCATTGTCTCATATTATAACCAATTATTACATATTATATCATATTGTAACATGGCGTATTGTATTGCATTGTATCGTATCATATTGTATTGTATCAAATGGATATCAAATCACACTGTAATGTACTGTATCTTAAATAACAAATTGCACTGTATTGATCATATGCTATTTTAACATTATGCATCATTATATATTGTATTATATTGTTTAGTATTGTATTGTAAGTAGCATAACTAATCTTACTGTATTATATAATATTAAGTATTGTGGTGTATCATATTATAACACATTGTTACATAATGTATTGTTATATAATGGCACGTACCATCATGTAACACAACATATTGTAACATGTCACATTGTACTACATCATACGGTACTGTCATATCACAATATAACATATTGTGTTGTATGACAGCATTATATTTATCTTATCATAATGTAATATATCGGTTATAATTTTAACTGGAGAATGTAATAAATCACCAGAGCTACACAGGGCTCAGACCCCATCTGTTGTTTTAAATGCTGCTTTAATGTAAAAGTCTTCATCAATTTAGGTTTTAGGACATCAATCATTTGTTTCCATTTGTCCTAATGGAACTGAACCCACACAAGGCTGCGACTACCCTGGGAGTGCTATAAGAAGTTCAGTCATTTTGAGGATAGTGCTTTTGGTGACTTAAAATATAAAAATACAATCTCTAAAATAACTTTATATAATGGAAGGAGATACTATCAAATTCTTAATGGGGAAAAAATTGTAACCATATTTCAACATTTTCAGACATTCAGATCCTACGGTGTAATGAAAGTGGGTTTACTCCTGGTCTGGTTCTTACACCTGCTTTGAGTTGAATCTGGTCTTCATCTGTGGTCTAACAATGGCCCTGCTTCTGTGCTCTGCAAGGCTCCAAATATGACACCATGAGGTTTGAAGTCTTTCTTTCTGTTAGAGCTCTCTGCTCACACAGAAGTTACCCAGTCCCCACATCATATATTTTCAGAGCAGAGGTCTGTATGTTGGCAGTGAGGAAACAACTGAATTAGCTCCCTCTGCGTCTGTTTTCTTTTGAAGTGTCTCACCACACTACGCACATAAACCCGTAAGAGCAGCAGACCCCATAATTACACAGCCAAGACGCCCACCACGGCCCAATAAATGAGGAGATGACATAAATCTCTGGACGTCTACAATAAGAGCGAAAAGACAAGAGAACCAAGAGCAGAAACACAGTCGTGTCAGCAGACTAATCTGCTACTTCAGACTAAAGAGGCTGTAACAGCTGGATGTGTCTAAGTTTAACTACTCTTGAATAAATGGATCTGAAAGAAGCCACAATAAAAGATAGAGAGCCAGCAGAACAATACCATGACAAAATAGATCTTAGACAAAGAATCAAACTAAATAGAGAGTTTTATTTTTGGTTTTATTTTTTCTGGGTTTGAGGCCAGTAAAGCTGGGCTGACATTACAAGGAGAGTTACAGTTGGTAGCCTCATTTTGTGGATTAACAACTTTTTTTTAACAGACCAGTTCAAGCTTTACTAAACAACACCATGCAAAGAGTCATAAACTGACACGGATGAAGTTGTAATTTAACCAGGAAAGAATCCTGATCTCACGACAAAAAAAGTTGTTAATTTATAAAAATGGAAGTTGTAAATTTAGGTAAAAATAAGTAAGATATTTATGAGGATTGAGACACACTTTTATGAGATTAAAGTTGTTAATTGAGACGACAGAAGTTAAGGATGAAAAAGTTGGTAAACTTCAAAAACAACCTCATAAACTGACCAGTTAGAAGTTGTTAATTTGCGTAAATGAAGCCAGAATTTTATGAGAATGAAGTGGTTAATTTAACAGGATGAAGTTGTAATTTTACAGGATTTTAGTCATCTTTGACCAGAATAGAGACATAACTTTATGAGACTGAGAATGATTATTTATAAAACAGTTGTAATTTCATGAGGATCAAGTCAAAGTTTGATTAAACTGAAGTTGAATATTTTGAGATTTTTTTTTTTTTTTTAGAAAAAGTTGTGAATTCACGTGAATTCATAATTTTACAAAGCAATTAGCTTGAAAATGAGACTGAGATAAAATGAAAAAATGAGAAAGGAAAAAAGTAATTATTACAATCATCACTTAGGATTATTATCTAAGTTGATGCTTTATTGACAGTTTCCCCTCTATGTGTACACAGAGAGTTATTGTAGATGTTTTAAAGTCACATTCAAGGTATTTCAAAACCAGTTTGCCACACTGTTCAAAGATATTAATACCCTCAGAAACTCTGTCAAGAATTCTACAGGTCATGAACTCCTGGGTCTTGAACTTTTTACTGGCAAAAACTAACAGTTTCTGCCTGCCAAATCCACAAACATGTCAACAACTCCTTAAAGATTTAAAGGTCGGTGTGTCTAATGACTACTTTTCAGCAGAGAAATAGTCCCTATAAAACTGTTGGATGTATGTCCTGTGCAATCTCAAGATAAAAGGGGATGAAGGTGCTCTCATTTCAAATCTTAAATGTCATCTTTCAGAGTGCCACAACCTAAATTTCCATTTATTCTATCCTTACAGGTAGAGCCAAATCAAACACAAAACACCCACAACTATCTCCAGTGTAAACTATGATCAGAGGTGAGTGATAAGGTTTGGTTTTGTGGGTGTGTTTGATGTTGTGTTTGTGTGTAATTTGGATGAAGTGGCTCATTCACCCGGCTGTTGTGTTCAATATGATTTGTGTGTTTTTATACATCAAATGAGCAAAACAAGATCATCAAAAACGAACGTTTAGGTGTAGGTAAAAACGACTGTCCATTTTTGACCCATCATATTCTTAATCCAGGATAGCAGGATTTTTTTAACTATTAAATTCTGTTTTATCAACACCTTACTCGGGGTTCAATCCTTTATAAAATATAAGATGTAATTGGAGAAACCCTGATTTAAAAAAAGGACACAACCCAGCCCGCTTTACTCTCCGATCTTACCATTTTTCTTTCCCCAGCTTCTGCTTTATGGAGCATTTGAAAACCTGCCAGCTACCCACTCTCAATAACAAATATAGAAAAGCTGTATTTATCTGAATCATTTTAACCACAAATTATGTCAGTTCTCCGTAAAGCATGTTAGAAGACTCAGCCATCCAAAATAGCATAACCTGTGTGTGAGTGTGTGAGTGCATGAGTGTGTGTGTGTGCTTCAGTCCCCCTTGGGATGTTTCCATGTGCAAAACACACCTCTATGATCACTCTGATTAACAAGCTCATTAAAAACTTAAATTATCATGTTACAATTATGAGCGAGCAGCAAAGTGGGAGGTGTAATGGAAGCACTTAAAAGTTAAGTGGTGGCACAGTTCTTCTAGAGTTTAAGTCTTAAATAAGGGGGAAAAAAAGGAAAAAATGATCTTTTACATTTTAGTTAAGTGAGAATTACAGTGACACTGACTGCAGCTTCTGACTGGTTTGAACAGTATAACACCACAGATCTCAAGATTTTTCAAATGATTTTAATGAGCTCTGAAGTTTTGTGAAAAATTAGTTTGTGCCTTGTTACTCTTTTTTTTTTATTATCACAAGCCAATTAAAGCTCCTGTGTGGATTTTTCAGGTCATACCAAATTGGACCTCCTGTGGGCAATAGGGCTCATTTTGTCATCTGTATAAAACTAATGCTGCGTTCCAGTTGTACTCAGAAGTCGGGATTTCTGAGCTCCGAGTCAGAAATTTATCTGGAACACCCCCCTGAAGTCAGATTTCTGACTCAAAAAGTCAGACAATCCTCTCCAACCACGACTTGATGACAACGTCATGATCCAAGATGGCAGCGCAGTGCATCAACCGTAAAAAGAAATAGTGAAAGCTCCAGTAATGTTTTTTTATTATCTGTTTTGTTTTTCTAAAATGAAATAAGCGGTATATGTTGTACTGCCCAACGTCTAACTGTGAACACAGTGCTACGGTGTTTGTAAGAGTAAAATACTGTGTTGTGCATTGTTTACAACTGGTATAGCTAACAACAACTAACAACAACTGATGACAGCTAACAACAGCTAACAACAACTGAAAACAGCTAACGACAGCTGACAATTGTTAACAACAGCTAACAATGGCTTACAGTTGGTATCCATTTTGGTTTTTCCACTTGTTTACTAGAACGCCATCAACTCGGGTGTAACATCATTCGCAGCTCCAACGTCTGGAATGCAGCATTAATAATAATAATGCATCAGATTTCATATAGCGCTTTATCAGAGACCCTCAAAGTGCTTTACACTGGATACATCATTCATTCCCTCACACAGTCACACTTTGGTGGTGGTAAACTACCTTAGTAGTCACAGCTGCCCTGGGGCAGATTGACAGAAACATGGCTGCCATTTTGCACCTACGGCCTCTCCGACCACCACCACACAACACTCACAATCATACACCAGTGGAGGACACACACTGGGAGCAAGGTGGGTTAAGTGTCTTGCCCAAGGACACAATTGACAGACTTGGGATAGGGGGGAATCGAACCGCCAACCTCCCAGTTATTGGACGACCGCTCTACCTCCTGAGCTACTGTCTCAGGTTTAGTCTTTGGAACAAGATGCTTTTAAGTTTTAGTCATATTTTAGTCAGTTTGGGGTCCAGACTCAGCCCCTAGATGGAGGAGATCTGTGACCGTGGTGCATTTATTGCAGATTCCAGCTCAGCCTGCGTAACAGGAATAAACTCAGTGTTCTGGGTGATGGATTAGATGTTCAGCAGGGAAGATATGATGAATTTTAAATGTCTGCAACCAACTCAAACATATTTGGGATGAAAGTTCAGTTCATTAATTCATTTCTTTGTTTCAATTGGTTTTCTCTGGACCATGTGAATTCTGCTTGAGGGAGTGACGGTTTCATCTGCACTTGTGGGTAAAAACTGATAATTTTAAGGTCTAACAGGCTGCAGGATGGAGACGTTCTGACTTACAGATGTATTTTGAAGCTCTCTGAACTTGCTGCCAAATTACAAACACCGGAGGTTAAAAATACGCCCAGCTGAAAGGAGGAGCTTCTCTCTTATTTGAAGGAGGACACTATTGTCTATCAAATTAAGCAACAAAGGCTTGTCGCTCTCTTCTATGTGTTTGGATTTGATAACACACTTCTGCTTGTTAATTTGGTTTTCAACACATAAAAACGTCTTACTGTCCTAAACATTAAAACATCTTTTCAGATGACTTTATGCAGGTGTCAGTTAAAACTGAAATTACAGGAGTGAAATGTGATCCACAACCTCTGTCTGTGTGTCTGCAGAGAAGTCTGCGGGATAATGAGAGACTAAAAGTAACACAAAACGGATTATTTCAAACATGCTGACTTGAGTGTGAAACTGGTTTGAAGGTTGATGTATGGCTCTTTGCTTAAAGAGAGCCCTGTTATGTGTGTGTCTGTGTGTGGGAGTGTGTGATTAAAGGCCATGCTGACAGCCTAAAGCCTTGTACAGCATGTCTCTGTTTAGGCCTCATTAACATTCAATGGAGCTGTCATGGATGGGTGCGCGCAAATTCTTCACAGTCAGCAGAAGATCTTTCCCGAGGCGGCGACCACACTCAGAGAAAACTGGACTCTGATACAATCTGGATTATTTTTTTAATACTTTTTTATCAATGAGTTTTAATCCTCTGGTTATTAGCTGTATGGGAATCAATTTTGACCTGGCCTTAAACAGCAGTATTTACAAATGTACTGTAATAAAAAAAAAGCTCGATGTCTACATTGTGGTTTTCTAGATGGGTCAAAGTGAATCTTTAGGCTTCATGATTCCTCCTCAAAAACCAACAAAGAATTGTATGATGTAAAAAAAAGAGCTCGGAGGGTGGCGGACCCACCCTCCGCAGTTGTATTTTCGTCTGGCAGAGCCTGGCGTAAAGCCAGTTTGGTGTTTTCGTGGACTGAGGCGCACCGAGGTCCGCCAAGCTGGGCGTGGCAGGGGGAGGTGTCGTCGACAGAATCAGCAGGTGGAGTAACATTTTCGTGCTCGCCACCGGCGGATAAAGTGCGCTGAAAGCTCGCCAATTCAAACCTGGTCAGCTTTCAGCGCGGGCGAAATGCAGCTGGTCTAGAGGTATTTTGGTAGACCTGCGGAATATCGGTATACGTCACTGATGCCTCACCGGCAGATTTCCACAGTGTCAGGCACATTTAAATGCAATAAATAATCAACAACAACTAAAATCTGAGTCAGCACATACATTTAGATCTATATAAACATATACTCTGATCTATATCTGATCTGATGAGCGCGTTTGGCACGCACTTGGACACACAACCTGACCGAATCAACACAGCTGAAACCACATTCAATTAAATTAAATATCTAGTAAATAGATAGACAAATGATGAAGTGAACAAGATATGTATTCATCTCCCTCCTTTTCTTTCTTCCTCTTCCTCTTGTTTCTCGCGCAGCTGGACCTGGACATACATTAAATCCACTCCATGCCCTCTCTCCTCCCTCGCTACAACTTATGCCGCTGGTAGGAACTGAGTTAGGGTGGGGGGATACTTCTGCCGGGCTGCGCCGCTCACCAAAATACCAAATTGTGCTTGGGACCTGACTTACGCCGCGCCATAGGCGCGTCTCCAGTGAGGCACAAAAAAAGAGCCCCTTGTCTGTTTCTTTGCAGATGTGGTGAAATTGAGATCTTTATTTGGTTAGGGGGCTTGGATATGCAAGATATCCTTATCTCTATACATCACAATACTGCTCTCTGCTTTTTTCTTATAACCAGATCTCTTTATCCCCAAAGCCGCAGCCTGAGAGATCACCAGGCATCGGTTTTTGGGTTCTTAAAAGGGTGAAATTCTAGTGTGTAAGACATCAGGAAGAGGAGTTCTTGCCTGAGGTCAGAGATCTAAGAGATTAGCCGGTTTGTTGACCTCTTCACTGCTGTTAGAAAGAGCTATGCATAAGCACTAAAACTGCATGTTGTGGACTTAGCTGAATGCCAAAGAAATCTTCACCCAGAAGAGCACTTAAAATAATTTTCCAAGTGCCTGAGTAATTTATTCAGGATATTTTTTAGTAGATGTCCATCATATTGGCCTCTGCTAGAGCCATGTAGGCAGAGAAGTCCTCCTGAAGTCATCACTGTGACTTGAGGAAGATACAGTTTGTTTCTGAGCTGAATTAAAACCTTGTTGGATCTGTGACGCTCTCAGCTCACCCTTGGTGTGTTTATTTACACATCTCTCCAGAGTAAATGTCCGTGTCCGACTTCAACAAATATTAGCAGGAAACTAACATTTCCATCCAAAAATACTTCAAACAAATACAGCCAAGTACACGTCTGCTTCTGTGATTTATAACTGGCCAGTTTGGTAAAAGGAAGGAGAGAAATTAGAGGGGAAAGACAGATATTAAAATGTCTTAGGTCCAAATGTCTGCTATAAATCCAAAATCAGCTTTAAAGTAATGCCAAGACTCTTACAAGAAGACCAAGTATTTTACATCAGTGATTTACTTCACCTTTCACGTAAAAACCGACAAGTTAATGACAACATCAAAACAATACAATACACACAAGAAGAAGTTACTGCACAGGTTTCTGGGCTCTGTTTATGGCTGTAAATCATTAGGATGCTCAATGTTCCCTGACATTGCATGAAGAAATTCTGTTTGTTGGTCTTGTGGCATCTGTCAGGGCAACAGCAGATTTTTCCGAGAACTTGTGATAAGTTTACCATCTGGGAGTTAAAGGTTTCTTTGTTACAAATTACAAATCTGTTTAGAGCTCCACTTATCTTTATGTATATGATACGAAATGGACCAAACAAGTACATAAGAGGTGTTACTGATGGGGACAAGACCACAGAGAATTATCTACAACACTACACAGCACGACAGTTCAGTCTGTCAGCCATTTAGTTCGCCCTTATCGCTGTTTGAGAAGCTGCCGCAGCTGTTTTCAGTGATATAAATCTGATGCTCCACCAACAGAGCGATACACTGTCAGCACCACGAGCAGACACTCACAGTTAGCAACCAGCAGGTGGACATTTATCAGCTGCAGAGGCAGATATTTAGCTGAGGAGCTGGTGGTTGAAACTGAAGTTCAAGGGAGTAAATATTGGACTTCCTTTTGATTACGCTTCTGTGTGTCTCCTGGATATTAAAAAATGAATGTTTGCTAACAGATGTGGCAAAAACATTTTCCAAGTAATTTTTTTTTTTTTTTTTTTTTTGGATGACTGGAAACAAAGCAGCAAATACTATCCTGTTCTTCTAATATCAGGTGCAACAGCAGGAATGTTCATAGAGTATCTCTGGAGCCTGTATATTGACTTTTTGTGTTGCTGTTCTTGCATATTACCATGGTGTTAATCATCACAGCAGCAAAGCTTTATAGTTGCAATCATATAAACCATACACACAGTTCAAACAATATTTTTTCAGAACCAGACACTCCAGCTTTGAGATTTTTTTGGGAACAATTTTTGGATAATGTAAAAAAATGGACTACACAAATGTTTGCCAAAATACGAAATTCGTAAAAACCTGCACGATCAAAATAAATGTCTAATTGGTAAGGGAGTTTGTTAATTAGAGGGCATTTATTTCAGTATTTCAGAATACAGACAAAGAATATCAGTATGGAGAATTCAGTCATGTTACCAGGCTAGCATTTCATCCTGCTGTAAACTGTAATGAACAGAGGTTTCTTTTTTTACACAACTTGGCTTATTAAACTGAGCAGATGCTAAGTTTAGCCTCGGTTTATGTCTCTAGGTTGGGATTATGTCATAAAACTAAGATTTCCTCCTCTGCTTTAACAGTAAACATCATAGACAGACCTGCCCATACCTGCTCTGTGTTCCATAATTACCATCATAGACTGGGGTGACAGATAACAATGTTAAATCTACATGATCAGAATGCTTCTGAGGAAGATTAGTAGGATGTGTAAACCTCAGGGGACACTCCTTGGTTTGGTTTGGTTTGGTTTGGTTTGGTTTGGTTTGTGGTTATCAGCTGGTTGGAGTTTGTGTTATTCAAAAGTACGTCAACTGTAAGCTGCTAGCTGTATTTCTAAAACACAGTTACCACACACCCCCACCGCCCCCGTCCACATATGGACACCAACTGTGCGCAGTTTCAACCTCACCACTGTGGACCACCACCCTTCGGTTGGTGTGGAGTGACTCCAGATTCTTGGGGAAAGTAGTTTATTGTGATAACAGGAAGAGTCCCAAATTACTGAGCTGGGCTGTGACTCAAACTGGTACAACACTCAAAGAAGTTCAGAGGAGGCTCAAAATAGCGTCGTACACTTGTAGCTGGTGGGCGTGCTCACATGCCTGCAGATGTGTGTACATGTGCTCTTTCATTTAGCAAACTTGTTCTCTTTAAGTCACCACGAGGGAACGTCCCATACAGTGTTTGTAGTACATGGTGTTGACTTCATTTACCTGGGGTAGATTTCAGATTTATGTGCTGACCTTATACCTGTTTAATCTGTCTTTTTCTGTGCGTTACTTTTAGTGCCAAGCATGGAAAAGATTCAGACTGCATCATATTTTGTTTTTCTTTTGCATAAGATGAAAAGTTGTATAATAAATGCTTTATGTTCTTGGTTTTTTTTTTTTCCACCATCACTGCTCTAACATCCCTCAGCTTGATTGCCATGAACTAGGCTAGGTTGTACACAGCACTCTTTCTAAGAGGTGTCCCTGCAACAGGTCTGGGATTTCTCAGTTTGGTGTTGTGTACTTACGTCACATTTGAGAGCATAGATTCCTACAGACTTTCCACAGAACAAAAAGCTCATAGTACATTGCTTTTTGTTGTCTATTTTTTGGAAATGTGCATGTTTTGCTGCCCACTTTTTTATCTTAGCATTACTGATGTGAGTCTAACACGTTTTTATTCATTTATATGTAGCTGTTCAATCCTCTCTTATTCAGACATGAGTAATAGCAGTTTAATAATTCATTAACTAGATTGAATTGATTTGAATTCCCACAATCCACCTGTATTGATGTGTACAAAGCCTCCTACATGATGTTTATTGATTAATAATTGCCTTGCAAAGCACATTATCTATTGTTTAAATACCATGAGACTGTGTTGTATATTTAGCACAGCTATTGTTAGTTTTGTGGAGGAAATCTGAGCTGTACGTCTGAGTCATTCTCTCAGGTGGTGATGTTCTGGGCTTGTGCAGGCAGCGCTATCATAGCTAATAAGAAGAGCATGACGAACAAAGCTTATCAAATGTCTGGTTTCAAGTCTGAAGTGTGGGAAAGGGGGTAAGACGGCATCCTTGCTAAGTCTGAAAACTGAGACAAAAGTCACTCCCAGCGTATTAAACTTATTTTAGACATCCTGCTGACAGCTGTCCCAAGAAAAAGGATGGAAAGTGTATGAATACTTAGGAATCAAGGATGTAATCGAAGAGAATGAATATAAAAATGAATGATGAATAAAAAAATATCAATACTAGAGAGAGTCTGGGCGTCTTTAATTCCCCATCTTTAGGAGCTACAGTCTGCACTGACCTTTAGTCCTGGTGGCCCAACCTGTCCGCTGCTGCCTGGTTCTCCTGGCTCCCCCTGGTCAGGCAATAAACACACACTGAGAAACAACGTGGAACAGCAGCAGCCAGATTCAACACCATTACAGTAATTACCTGTTTCACTTCAAACATGGTGCTGCCAAACACTGCAGACATTGCTGTGACAGGAGGAAAATCCAAACACACTCACATGTGCACAGAGGAAGCCAAACCTCCAAAACTCAGGAGTTAATCTCTTTACCTCTGTTTATATGGAGCGAGATTGTTTACCTTAGCTCTGGTCGGCATGGTTATGTTGTTTTATCAAGCATGGTGTTTTATTTTCATGAACAGACACCTCCAGTCCTGCCACATCACTTAGATTGGTTAAATCATACTGGAGACACATGACTGACAAGAGGAAAAGGATCTTACCATTGGTCCACTTTCTCCTGGAGGCCCTGACTCCCCTCTCTCACCAGGAAGACCCTGCATGGATAGAAATGTGCTGTTATTTTGTGGTGGTGTCAAAAGTACCCAAACTTTAAAAGTACATATGAACAACTGGTTTTCTATGTTGTACAGGCTTCTCATAGCATATCAGGTAACTCATCTCTTGCACCATCATTTGTTACTTTGGCTGATCACTTCCTTATGGTTCATTTAAATGGTCAGATCTTTCTGATATTTCTCATTACCGTTGTTTAAAATGTGGAGCAGATGAGAAACAAAGAAAATGTCAGTACAGCACAGTCCCACCTTAAGTCCTGGGGGTCCTGGTTCTCCCTGTAAACCTAGCTCCCCTCTCTCCCCCTGAGTATTAACAGCAGAAGGAGATACTGTCAGTGCTGGCAGTAGATCATAAAACACACAACACTTAGACATCCTTACAGACTTACCATCAGGCCTTTTGGTCCAGGGTCCCCCTTTGGTCCTTCAGGGCCAACTTCACCCTATCAAAAAGTGTTTTACTGTGAATCAGCTTCATAAGATTTACATCACGTTTTTCAAACTGGGTGTCATATACATAACAGCAGACACAGCCATATTGGAGGAATCTCACTAATAGGAATCATGAAAGATGAGAATGAGAAAAAATACAGGAGGTGTTTTGTTAGACCTGACAGTTCTGGGGACTAGATAAAGAGGGACTATACCTGAGAACTAAACACCATGGGAACTTTTTTTGTCTGCACCACCACAGTGATGACTGATAAGAACCTTAAAGCTGGCTGACAGTTGCTTAAAAAAATGTATTCAACACAACATTAATTAGAATGAGTCTCACTGTTGAATCCTTTGTGCCCGCATCACCAGCATATGCCACGGATGGCGCAATATTTAGACTCACTTTGGTTGTTGTGGTCTTTAAGTTTTTCCAAATTCTCACCTCACTGTTATGTGTTCGATCCCTCAGTGTCGTATGTTTGCAGGAGTTACTTTCAAAGATTTTTTTTGCTTTGCTGAGTCAAAATTGCTTTATGTCTTCTCCATCACAAAAACACTCAGCGAAGCCTGGAGCTCAATCTTGGTCCACTTGTCTGAGTTTTTCTTTTCATTTTCAATTTTTGTGAGAGCTTTTGTTGACCCTTATTTACTATAATTTTGTTTAACCTTTCCTGTAGGATTTAAACATGGTGGTTGGTTGTACTAGATTGGCTTGTGTTGTGATCAACCTATCAATGTTTACTCAGTTATGGACCAATTCTCATAGTTTTTAATATAAAAACATGCATGTTTATGTTTTATATCCTTGGTACTCAAACTATATTTTTTGATGCTTAATATAAGGGTTGTAAGAAAACACAGAAACGTCAACCTTCAAAGTTAAAACTTCCTTGTGTCTTGCTATGACATGCTGACATAACTTTGTTTATGCAAGAAATGATCTGGACTTGCTTTTGGAAGGTGATTAAACACAACAGTACTTTACCTTCTGTCCTGGTAATCCAGGAGGGCCAAGTACCCCAGGTTTGCCCTCTTTACCCTGAAGACAGATATAAGAAACAAGGATTCAATCAGGATAACCTGTCTAATAAAGACTGGTAAAGTGTTAAAAGAAATAAAGTAATGAGGAAAGCGATTAGCACTTACAGGCTTACCATCAGGTCCTGGTGGCCCCTCCCTTCCTTTCTCCCCTCGGAAACCCTGTGGCAAAAATTCATCCATCATGACACCAGAGTTATAGGCTTTGGCATATCATTAAAGCTCCTGTAGGAGACTTTTGGTTAAAGCTGATTTTGGCGCCCCTGTGGACAAAGCCATTTCTTGTTCAGCCCAAGTGAGTTTATAGGTTTCAGGAAAAAATAAATAAATCTCATCCACCTCTCCTTGAAATTTCACTCAATAAAAATATTTTAAGTGGAATTTATCGATAAAATCTTCCGAGCAGTCGCCATTAATCTCTTAATCTGACACCTACCCCACCTCAGCATAAACAAGCATAAATTATAACAATATAAAAATAATCAATTACTTCCTCATGTTGTCTTATATATTTGTCGATCAAACAAAAACATTAGCATAATATTTTAGTCAGTTTTATTACCAGCTGTACACTTCTTACAGGAGCTTTAAGTTTTAAGTTACTGCCGGGGCGGCAGTAGCTCAGGAGGTAGAGCGGTCGTCCAATAACCGGAAGGTTGGCGGTTCGATTCCCCCCCTCCTTGGGCAAGACACTTAACCCACCTTGCTCCCAGTGTGTGTCCTCCACTGGTGTATGATTGTGAGTGTTGTGTGGTGGTGGCGGAGAGGCCGTAGGCGCAGAATGGCAGCCACGTTTCCACCACCACCAAAGTGTGACTGTGTGAGCGAATGAATGATGTATCCAATGTAAAGCGCTTTGAGGGTCTCTGATAAAGCGCTATATGAAATCTGATGCATTATTATTATTATTATTAATATCACAGCATAGCTTTAAGTAAGAGTTGTACTGCAGAAGGATGAAGGAACTTATAGTCAAAGTTTGTTAATATAATCCACCTTATGATTGCGTCAGGGTGTGTACGATTGCTGTAACTGAAAGTAATGTTTTATAACTTTAAAAGCTGGGTTATCCATTTGCAAGATTATTATGTGTTATTTTCCTCAAATTGTCTTTAAAGCAGGACATCATTATTCATACCTTGGTCATCTGAATGATTCGGAATGACATGCACAAAATCAGACAGCTCTAGCCATTGATCAACACCGACTGCATCATGTTTTCCAGAAAGCCAACCGTTTATGATGAACTGAATGTCAGCACCACATATGAAACTGTTCATGGCCTAATTGGTGTTTAGAAAGAAACTAAACACCAATAAATATGAGATTCTACCAGGTCTGAATCAACCAACTTTTTTCCAGTTCTGTAAGACATGGTAGCTCCTTCAGTAAGAAATGGATAATAATACTCTGTCTGTGTCTCATTAGGATAGATTCCCCACAACTAGAAGTAATTAGAGGTCATTAGTAGATGGCAGAATCTGAGGTCTAAGAATGTATATTTTTGGTAAAATGCATCAATTCCACATTAAATACACAGTAAGTAGTCTACTAGTTTGCAATTTGCATGTTGCGGTTGTCCTCCTTTTTCCATGCAGCATGCACCACCATGGATTATTTCATACAGAGCTGCTAGTTTGCGTAGAACCTCAATATGGGATGTGATGTTTTTATTCACCAAATGCGGGATGAGGCTTTACAGTAATGATGCAGAATCATCAGAAGGGCATGAGACATGTTTTATGGCGAATGGTTCTGAAAAGTGAAAGAGTGTGTGCGTGTGTTACCATGCGTCCTGGCAGACCACGCTGTCCCGGTGGTCCGACCACACAGTTGCAGTCCTCCTCCTCTGTTGTTGCTGTTCGATTCAGAGGGCACTGGAGAAACAGAAACAAAGTGTCTGCAACACGAAGCAAGTTTCACTGTTTACAAATTTCCTGTTAACATTATTGATGCCTCATAATTTGTATACACTGGGATTTGGTCGGTGTGTTTTGTATGCGTGACATCCACTTCCTGAAAGAAAGATCCTCCCCTTTGGTTTTTCTTCTCCTTTTGTTGTTTTTTTAACCCCACTATTTTCTTTGTATTTTGTTCCTTCTTTAAAGTCTTTCCTTTTTTAAATTTAAGGGAGCCAAACCTGGCACAAAAACTTACAGATTGAGGCATTGACACTTGATTTGGGGCTTTTAAAATGAAATTTAATCACCAAAAGTCACAATAAAGCACTTTGCCCCATCAGTGATTAACATAAGTAATGCTTTAAAGTGAGTAACTGCTACTTGAGTTATGCTCTGACTGCCTTTGCATTATCTCAGAGGCTGATAGATATGATAGAAAGAGCACTTACCCTTTCATCATCCTGTATAGTACAGAAAACAGAATAAGAGAAAAAAAGAAGGGTTTAAATAATTGATTAATAATAATTAGATATGACCACTAACAGGTAACAGTGGTAATCTTACCACTGAGTAGATCTCACAAGCTGTTTCTCTTTCACTCTGGTGAGGGTCACAGTACAAACGCAGCTTTTGAATTTCAATCTGGAAGAGAAAAAAAAGAAAAGGAAAAAAGGAAAGGTAAGAGTAGTCATTTCTGAATCATGTTTATATGGTTTCTTCTCTCCATTGTACAGTTTGGATTTATATTTGTGCATGTACAGAACATTTGTTTTTAGAAATGATTAGAGCCCATGCAGTGACCACTTCAGAGTCATAGATGTTTTAATGAGGTGCTGCTCTAGGGCCCAAAGATCACAGCCATCCAGTCATGGTTTACCCCCATTTTCCCGTTTCTTTGGTAATATCAAGTACAGCAGATGATCAAATCCCCATTATTCTGAAACGGTTAAACTCTTTCCTCTCACAGTCTCTCAGAAAGTATTGTGTATCTTCATTCCAGTGCCTCTGAGAGACTAACCCTCTTTGTAATGCCCTTAACTTCCCAGTCATGCTTCTAACCTGTTGCAAATTAATGATTTGCATATTTAAAATCTGCTACATTGATATCATCTGTTGAGAATTGGGGTTGTAAAAGGATTATTGGGTGAAGGAAAACATGTTTTACAAGCTCTTGTTTATGTAAGCATTATATCTTTATTGGTGTTTCACAATAAGGGCTGCTACAGAAAAATTATGTTGTTTATTGTGCATTACAGCCATGCACAGGGGTCTTTAGTATTTGAGGTACTAAATATACTTGAGATTTTCTTCCATTTTCAGGATTGTTTGTGAGTCACTGTGTTATTGTTGTTACTCACAGGTACAGTGACGTCTGTTCCTCGTCTCTTGGCCACCTGTGTCTCCCCGTTGATGTAAATGGGTTCCACTGGTTCCAACATCACTTCCTGCATCGGTTCATCATCAAGGAAACTGGTGACCTGACTTGGCCTCACCAACAGTTTGAGCTGATGCCACTTTCCGTCATACAGGGGCTGAGAGAAAGAAACAACATGGTTATCACTAAAGCAGATGAATTCCCTGGCAGTTTGTCTATGAAGACTAAAACATACTGTGTCTTTGTTCTACTTTGGTGCTGTGAGCCAAAACCATAGACTGCATATGCTATGGACAACTTGGTTCCACCTACTGCCTGTATACGGATTTGAAGCCAAATAGCTCTCGGTATTTCCGGGATGACGCTTGGTTCAAACAGCGTATCCCCCGGGAGAGCTACGCAATCCCTGAACGCCCATAGGCTGTATCAGGTGTCAATCATAGAAAACATGAACCCTCAAATAACTTGAAAAAAAAAAAAGCTTCACAGAAAAAAGAGGACTTGGGCACAAACCAGTCTTACAATAACTATATGTCAACATCACAACCAGAGGGGAGAAAAATTATGTTCTGTGTAAAAAATTTCTAAAGTTGGTCCACAGCCCTATAAGCTTTGCTTCACCTAGCAAGGAGGCAGACTCTGTCCATTCTATATACAGTCTATGGCCAAAACGGATGTTAAAACATTTATTAACTTGTCACACATCTTCCAATCAAACTTCTTTTTCTGTTGGCAGCCATTTACCTACTAATCAGATTCAGTCAGTACAGCCAAAAAGTAGGTTTCTTCAATGCTACAGAAATAGTTCAGTCCTGTAAGGTTTAAGACCAAGAGCTTCCCCTGCTTTCCATCAGAATATTTTTCTGACGGCTCAAACTGTACGGAAGGGAGAGAGACACAGAGCAGCTATTGTTTCATTCAGCCACAGCCATCCTTTCTACATGACAAATCACAGGCTCCTACCTTGTGCCACATCAAACCAAATCAAATCACTACAAGTGCAAACACAAATTGAACAAAATTACAACCCTGTCTGATGCGTCTTTCTTAAGCCAAGCTGACTGTTGGGATGGAGGGTAGTGGGCGCCCTTCGGAAAATACAACCTGGCATGTCTAACAGGATGTATTATTAGTGTGTGCTGACATTGAAGGAGCCACTCATCTATGGGCTGGTTTCCTCAGGGGAAATGCAGTGGTTAAGAGGAGGAAACATTTTCTTTGAGCCTCCTCCTGGCCTAAATCACATTACAACTTCACCGCTCCTGCTGTGTATTGGACTGAACAGGGGATGATATTTAAATAACTGCTGGTTTGGCTCCATGTTAATCACGGCAGTCAGGTTCATTCACAGCCACCAACATGAGGGAAATGCCAAGATTGGAAAAGACACAATATGTTCTTTCAGAGGCCAAAATAAAACAGTTAGCTTAGTGGCTCTAAACTGCTGTGATTCAGAGTACATTATTTATGGTGCAATTTAAAGCAGCTGTACATATGTTATTATTAAACCTCGATCATATGAGTTTTGACCACTAGGGGGCATGCCAGAAAGACTCTCATGTGAGGGGACTTAACTTTTTAAGTCATTACAGATGTAAAAATGCAAGATACAGCATGTAGTGTAATCAAAACACTTGAAAATACAGGATTCACCATCACATACTGATAAATTGATCAATAATGGCATAAATCAATCATCTTATATAAATGTGTTACAACAGTTTTCGCAAAGTAGCCTTACTCACATGTTTACACAGTTTGACACAGAAAAGCAGCAAGATGACATGATAGCAAACATGGCGTCACTGGTCTATATCTTTTTCGGAGGAGAATGATGGAGTTGTGATTTAAAAACATGAGCTGCAAGTACTTTAAGAAGAGGAAGAAAGTCCTGACCTGATGAGTCCTATGTGTCACATGAAAAGGTATCATCTCAAAAAAGGTGTATGACAGGAATATGAAGCTAAAGAGGCCACAATGTTGGTACTGAGGGCACTAGTGCCAGTTATTTGAAAACTGCAATGTCTAACAAAGACAAACCAAAACCTAACGCAACTACTGATAAAATCGCTGACTGTACAAACACTTGGTGACCAACCTGTTTCTAAGATTACAGATCGAAGCTGTCCCAGTACTCCCTACCTGCCTGTCTATATGATATGATCTCCTCACACATTCACAGTCTGATCAGCAACACCAGTGACTCAGTTTTACCGAAGACATACAGACTTCTGACATAGATCCATTTGGTGTGCTCAGTTTGACGTCGCAGTGGCTGGATGAGGACTTAATCACAGTCATTGCATCCACAGGAGGGCTTTAATCTGCATAGCTGTAATAACACTTAAAATAATGATAAACTTTAATTAAATATCCATGTTAAGTTATTTTTGTTCACTTATTTTGGACAAAATCACTTTATCAACATCTATACATGTCAGTATGTTACAGTCCTATTGGGTGATTTAATGGAAAACAGGCATGCAGATTAACTAGTTGAATGACTGACATTTTTACTGCTTTCTACATGCAGAAAAAAAAATTGGCACAGTTTTGTCAGTTCAAATCACACAGATCATGATGCCAGAATCGTAACCACTCAGCCTCTGAATGCCCTCTTCCTGAATATTTTTTAATCTCAGTGGTCAGAAGAAAAACCACAGTCTGAACTGCACGGCTAAAGTTCATTGGCTTGACAGTAAAGAGTCGAAATGTGATCCAGAGTTAAATTTTTGTTTATTCCTCATATGTCAAATAATTTTGGTTTGGTTTAGTGACTTAAACCAAAGTTTAGTGATTTTAGTTTATTTGGAAAGACAGTCAAAATTAAACTAGCAGCTGCTTTGATCTAAAAGGGCAGATTAATCTAAAGAAATGTGGACTGCAGGGAAGAGGGCGATGCACAATTTTAATGCTTGTCGGATAATATCCTATCATAGAGACAAGTTTGAAATAGATATGTGATGAAAAGAAATGTCTATATATGTAAAATTGCTGTTTTTCAACGCTTGTTAGTCTGAGATGTTATAGCAAGCACAATGAAGTCTTTGTAGCTGTGTTAAGTGGAACAGTAATTGTTTAGGAATAAACTAATTAAAGAGGGAAGTCAAGCATTTTTCAACCTCTGTGAGAGCATTTTACTACCTCAGAATCATAGCCCCCCTTAAAGCCTCTTAACCAGGTGAGAAATTACTCCCATACAGATAAACTGGATGTAAAACTACATCTTCATACCAACCTCAAAGTTGTCCTTAAAGATGACCCTCTGCTCCTTTTCTCTTATGCTGGTGGTCGTGAACATGACACTTTCGTCCTTTCCACTTAGTGTCACTGCAGCCTGGATCTCCTTCTCCTTAGACAGCACTCTCCAGAGGTCAAAGGTCATCTTGCTAGATGACCCCTTGAGTCGTATTGTGGCTACAAACACGTAGGATGGGGGAAGGCCCTCAGGGAAAATCTCTCTAAGAAGAGCGAAAAGATACAGCAATAACTGATAAAGTAGATGAATCCACAGTACACATTATCCACGCTCCTGTGACGCTTTTTGGACAGTACCTGGTATTCTCAGTTATATCTGTGGAGATAGACAGAGAGAAGGCTGCTTCAGAAACTAGAGAGCCGGGGATCTTCTCAGCCTTGGTCTGAATGTTCATGCCCACCATCAGCTCAAAGCCTTTCTCATCACGAGATGCCACCGGGATTCGGGTTGGACACACAGACTCTGAAGAGAAAAGAGGGATCAGACAGTTTAATCGTTTTATTTCACTTCTCTAATTGGACTGTTGGGTCATCTGAAATAACTGTCAGAGTATTAATCTGTAACTTTCATTAAAACACCAAAAATGAACTCAATATCTGTTATTGTCACATTTAGTGGGCTGAGTTTACCTCACATACAGTTACTGTGATAAACAACACCTGACTTATAGTAACTCAGCAGCATGACATGGTTATGAAAAGACCATATTTCTCCATGTAAACAATATAGATACATAAGCAATAAAGGCTAAGTTGGAAGAAGAGGGTCAATTCGTAAAAGGCTGTATAAAAAAGGAGCAAGTATCAGCTGAGGTAGTCAAGAGGACGTGACATCCTCTAATGTTTAAGTTATATCACCAGGACTTCAAGTTAACAGAAGAATTAGAAAATACAGGTCTTGCCTACATTAACTTTTGCAGTAACAGTTTTGGGGATGTTACAGCTAAGAATACAAAGCTAAGTAAGATCAACACTGGGCGAAGTCTTTTTGGGATCGGCAGCATCCATCGATTCTATACAACAGAGAGGATAAATGAGAAAATGCAAGATTACAGAGAGATTGGCTTGGTTCCTGACCTTCACAGAGCTTTTGCTCCATGGAGTCCCGGATACGGTCAATGGTGGTGTAATCCTCAGCATACAGGACATAGGTGGATGATGGTCTATTGGCAATTGATATTAGCTCTGAGGTGGTGATCTCACTGCCGACTCCAACAGCAAATAGTGTAATGCCCTGAGCTCGAGCCTCCATACTGGCATCCACCTAAAGAAGCATAAAAAAAAGGCATCATGGGTGAAAATCAACCTTATTAATGTTTTTTATTTGGGTTTTTAACAAAGGTTTTTTGTCCACATAAACTGGACTTGTTTTCCATTGAAGTTTTTTTTTTTTAATGTAACACAGCAAAGTGACATTTACCACATCGTCCTGGGATTTGCCATCCGTAACTACCACAGCAATGCGATGCTTGACCTGGCTGACTCGTTGTGAGGAGGGGAAGACGTGGTCCACTGCAAATCTGATGGCCCTGCCAGTCTGCAAAACAGTCAGAAAACAGTGATCACAAGGTGGAGCGCGTTATGATGATGTGATGAATAGTATTAGCTGCCATGCTCACCAGCCTACATCATATTAGAGTGCAAATGTAGTCATAGCTGGAAACTGGTTTTCAAATGCCCATGTGAAAAAATACTAGCTAATAAAACTGCAGAATAAACTGCCCAAAATAATGTACAAAATGGATTTTAAAAGAATTAATATTCGGTTAAAAAACACACATTAGAAAGGAAGAAGCTAAAACCTTACATTATTGCATGTTTAATTACCATTGCTGTGCTTGTGGTGTCACTGTGTGGTCATACAGCTGCAGATGCACCTGTAACTGCTGGCACTCACATTAAGTGTAGTCTCTTTCTTGAGGACCAGCCTTAGCCAGCCTGACTTTATTAGTTTGTGTTTTTGGACAGACTACTGAAAGTCATGCAGCTTTACAAGAAATGTATGCTGTTAATTTTTGGAATAAACTCTGTTTTAGTCCTCCACAACTCCTGCCCACAGCCGCATGTGACATTCAAAGTGGTGATATTAAATAAATATGAATACATTGTGATCCAATAAAGCTGCATCAATCAAATGTCTAAAACAGCACATTAAGGCTGAGAAATTCCAACACAACCCAATAAAAACGCGTTATTTAGCTTTTCTTTTCAACAAGTCAGAAATAATTTGAGCTAATTCACCTTTAAATACAAATGTGTTCATTTTTAAACTATGTAAAATGACTGTTCTCCAAGTATACCCCCCTTATTCTCCAACAGACATGGAGTTATCACATTTAACTGCCTGTACTGCTTAGCTAACCAGCTAACAGCTTGTAGCTGCTTGTAAACTTGGACTACTTGTCAGCAGCAGTTAGCAAGCACATATGCGCTACAATTATCTCTTTTATCCAATGGAAAGCTCTTTCTCTATTATTAAACAACCTTAAAATGAAATGTGGGAATAGAAGTCACAAAATTAGCACCACCTAGCTTGTGAGCTTGCTAGCGGACAGTCAGCATGTGCACCCATTTTAAGCTGGTAAAAAGAGTAAGCAACAGCAAAACTGATTCAAAATTACATTAGCAACATTTTTTCTAAAGGCAACAGGTACTGACAAGAGTGGATATGAAGCTGTTAGTTCATGTTGTCTGACCTGTGTGTTTCCTCCCAGGTAGGTGATGCCCTGAATGCCCTGGATGAGCATTGCCGCACTCTGATGTTTACCCAGAGGGATCTCTAGACGAGGAGTCTCACTGTACTGGACCACAGCAACCTGCAGCAGACACATTAAATCTAACATAAGAGTAAGGCCTGAATGACGAATGCTTTAATCTTGAAATGACTGCATTTAAAACCGTAACCCATAATTAATTGGATGAAAAAATCAGAAGTGCTGGACTGCTGCTCAGAACAGAATCCCAAGTCCCTTTGTACTCAGCATGTTCAGAATAATGAAGTCTTATTACCTGTGTGTAGTAGGAACTGATGTCAAATTGGCTGGTGATGTTTATAAGCCACTGCTTGGCTGTTTCAAAGTCAGGGACTCCAACACTCCAAGAGCCATCAACAATATAGACCAGATCATTAACAGACGTGCTGCAGCCTGCAAATGCAAAGATGTTTGAGTCACCAATACATATATTCAGTTAAAGCTTGGATCCAATAGGTCAGATCACTTTATTCCTAATTTTCTAAATGGATGCACATGCACTCAAAGTGTTTGAGAGTACAGAAAAATTTCTGATACTATTTAATCGTCATCGATTTGCTGTGGTTTTATTGCACTTTGTAAGGAGTGCATGAAGTTTACCTGCTCTGACATCGTCCTCCTCCGCAGCCTCTAGAGGAGTCAGTAGCAATATTGCACTCCATATTGAGAACAGCAACATGGCTCTATAGGAGAGTGGTCCACCTCTCTCCGGTCCTACCTATATTCGTGAAGAAAACACTGTTTTCAGCAAGATGACAATGACTTTTTGTAACCTTATCTTCTTTGGCCCCCTTTTTGTCTAAAATTTGACATTTACACATGACAGTATAGAGTATGTTACATTGTGGCCTCTTTAACTTCTTTAGTGGTTTCCAAGGAGTTTAAAACCCCAGACACTTTGCTAAAAAATTTTTTTAGCAAATACGTTTACATTTTTAAGAGATGATGAGGACCAACCTCTTTTTACTTTGGACTCAACTGTGCCACCCAAAGTCGCATTGTGGATATTACAAAGACAATATATCCCAAAATCCAATTAAAAAGCACTGATGTCAACAGACTTTGTTTTCTCTAACACTAATGTACATTCAAAAAGTAACACCCATGAAATATAAAATTATTCATGCATACACTCTCTAACTAATTAAAGGGACTTTCCACAAAAAACCCTGATACATAGTCTGTGCTGTAATGTTGAGTTGGCGAATATGTGATGTATGGCCCAAGATGACGTTTCTCCGCCTTGTGAAATTACCACATTTCTCTTTTCCTCTCTACTGTTCTTCTTTCCTCCTCCTCCTCCTCTCTCCTATAAAACACTTTTGTGAGTCTTCATGTTGTGCCATGCGACATCAGTCTGCTGGTGTGTTTTCTGCGGCGCGCTCCCTGTGTTCACTTAGCAGCGCAAACATGGTTCCACAGACCACAAGGCTGGGCCGGAGAAAATAACAACATGAGCTCTATGCCGGGGATGGGAAAAATGAAACGCAAACATGGAGGAGCAGGCTGCAGAGAGCTGGCAGAGGCTGAAAGACGGAGAAGGATCAGTCTTCTGTGGAGAGAACAGCTCCCACATCTTTTTCTCACAAAGTCTCCCTCCAGCTCTTTCAACAAATCCCTTTCTCTGTTTTCCGCCGCACTCACTTTGACTTGCTCGTAAAGAGCTGTGTTACTCCAAGTAACCTACAAATGTGACTCTGATTTATTTTCCCGCTTTTACAATCAGTTCAAAGTAAAAATCAGCCCTACAACAGGCAGAGTCCTGTGCTAACAATCGCTGAGAAACTTCAATTTGCTCAGTTAATTTGTCTCAAATAAACACAACTTAAACAATGGGACAGTACTTTTGATTGGTGTCAGCAGATATTGCTAACATAAAGAACACCATTTACCAGGTAGCTGGAGGGGGCATCACTGTGTCTTGGTACCCCATCAGTGCGCACATGTGTATCCAATATAAACAACAGTGGGCATTTGGCTTGAAGTGGGCGAGCTGTAAGCCCCACAAGGCTAAATGTGAATGTGGTCAAAAACATGGGTCACACATGTTGACTGAAGGGCTTCTACTGGGTTTCATAGTGGGGAGGTAATAGAAAATATACTCCAGTATTAGTCCAGGAGGGACCCTCTGAAGCTGTTTTTTTCTTTGTAGCTTAAAAAATTAGGGCAAATTTACCCATTAGGGCAACATACAGTAAACAAATATCAAAATTAGGGTTGCAGCTACCATTTTTCAGAGGGGTATATAGCAACAACTTTTGCTACTACTAGTTGGGCACTCAAGTCCCTCACCCCCATGATGCAGCACCCTTATTCACTGCATACGCTGCATATCCACTTTTTCTGCCTTTTAGTCAAGTTAGCTGCATCTTACAGAACACATTACCTTCATAGCTTTAATATGAAAAGGCAAGGACAAAATTCACCCCTATAGAACGTGTGCAAACAGAGAAATGAGCTATTAAGACCAAAACCTGTTCTTTGAACCAGACTGTAGGGATGGGATTCTTACAATTGGTGTATATGGTATCTGTGGCCACTGCAAATTTTACAAGTAACCTCAAGTGGACACTGGAGGAACTGCAGGTTCTTACAATTCTAGAATTCCTTTGCCTCACAACCAGAGGTTGCCACTTGGTCTTATGTCGTTTTTAAGGCGTTGATAACAGGTTGCTGATGGCGCATGCAAAGAGGCTATCATCCTTGTGGCAGGGGTCACTGGTTTGATTCCCAGTCACAATCCTTTGCTGGATATCTTCCCCCACTTTCTGCTCCCCATATTTCCTGTCTCTCTTCAGCTCTTCTATCTAATGACAAAAAAGGCCAAAAATATAACTCAAGAAGACATGGGTCCCCCCCTCCCACACTTGATCACTCCTTCAACTGCACCCCCTCTTACGCCGTTTCTCCCCCGTATTCATTTCTAGGGCCACAGGAATTGCAGATCATCTATTAATGGAAATTTGTAGGTGTAAGTGGTCACAGATGCTCTCCTCATGTAAAGTATCCTTCTTACTGTCAGCATACAGGACTCAGCTCTGATACTGTTGGGGCCGGTTTCCTGGTTCACTTGCACATTTTATTGGAACACAGCCATCATCATCATTATCATAACTGAATTGTTTTTGAAGTTCAAAGAATTTATTGGAGGAACATTTTCATGCCTGTAATTTCAGCAGCTTTTAGTCTCTGCTGCAGTTTTTAGACGCTTCTGCTGAACTCTCATTTGGAAGAGGCTGCCCTTTAAAAACCAAAATACCAGCAGCAAACACTATCCAATGCTGAGAAGAAAATTTAATGGATGAAGTTCTGTCGTGTGAATGTCACGATGGACAGACGGGTAAACTAAGTCTGCCTCTTGAAATCTGGGAGAACACCCATCATTTTGCAGTCAACATTGGTTTCTTTTTACCAAATCACAACCTTTTCTCTGACCAAGTGGTTTGTGTATAAACCTGTCCAAAACCACAACTGTAGTTAATGAATGTCTCTCCCAATCAAATAAAAACCATGCAGATCTTAATCCATGTGTCTACCAGAAAAAACACAAAAACAATACCAAACACAAGCTTTTTTTTATCTTAAGGCAATTATTTGTCTGGGGCTTCACTGTGAACCACCACCAAACATGACAATTTGAAAAACTGTGCATAGTTGTCCTCAGATAGTAGATTCTATTTACTTTGATTTTCATGCAATCATTGTTAATGCAATCATGTAACCTGTGTTATCTAACAGAAATATGTAGTTTTCAGGGTCAGCTAAGTATAAAGGTTTAAAAACTCCAGCTTTCTATTCTGTACACTAATTTTAAGACAATGTGAACCAGTTAAAATAATGCAAACATGCTCTTCACAGTGAAAAAATGACATTCAGAAAGCTCACATTATATCTGTGAGCCTATGATAAATAACACTGACAGCAAGCTACTGAGGAAGTATTTAAATGTGTCACTGATTCTAAAAGTGGATCAGCCAGGGTCCTGAAAAGGGTTTCATCCATACATCACTCTTTCATTTTAAAGCCCATTAGTCATTACAGACACACAGTGTGGATAGGTGGGTAGTGAACCTGAATTCCTCCAAACCTCACTCTACATTTGGAAAACCAGAAGTGCAGTCGACCGACCACATCAACCGTCTCTGCTGGCTTCAGTATCACTGAACATTCCTTGTGTGCAGATGTTGTTGGGATTGCTCAGCGCCTTCGGGTGCAGAGACGACTGCAGGAAGCACACATACTTCTCATTGTTGATTAAGAGCTGCTACACTCCTGACTGTATTGTTCAGTCAGTGGTGACATAATTCTGCCCTGGAGTCACAGAAAGCTGCGATTAATGAAGGACTGTCTCTAGCAGCATTTTCAAGACCTTAGAATACCTCCTTTCTTTTCTGTATCCCTGTTGATCCGTGATCATAAAGCTATTGCACAATGAACCAGTTCTGCCTTGTCAAAGATGGGATTTGATTTTCACACAGCCGGTAAAACTGAATAATCAAATGTCAGCTGATAGAAAAAGATGTTTAAACACTTGAATCAAAAAAGGACTTTCAAACCGTTAAACCTGACCCTTAAAACCTACATGTAGACTAAAAGCTCCTTTGATAAGTCTCTTGATGTTTATAGAATGGACTACAATTCATTTTGATGCCTTTTCATGATAATCAAAAGCAAACAAGACTATCAAGACCATCACCCACCCACACTTGTGTTTTGGCAATGAAAGGCCCATAACACCCTGTGACAGCTTGATGAGAGCACCAACCTCCATGCCATCCACCACAGCTTCATCTCTTTAGGTTATCAGCCATAGATATGGTTGTCAGCAATCTTCACATCATTGCTCAATCTTCACAGTTTCTAAGCTTCACTTGGCCCAGACAACCATATCAAACGCCTCCTTATGACCTCCCAATCTTCACGGTTTTGTTAATTTCTTTAGAATAAGATGACTTTATCAGCCAACACCTCCATCACCAGAGTCCTGACTAAGGCTGTTACAATAACAGATTTATCATCTGTTTTTAATACTGTTCAGTTTTATGACATGTATCATGCATAACCACCCCTGTCATTGAAACTTTCTTTGGGCAGACACTGCCCCATGAACAATTGTCATACTTTTATTTATTTATTTATTTATTGTCACGTTCTTAATTTGCTTAATCTCCTTCATGGTCACACTATGCTTTTATTTTGAAAGATTGTTTTTGGATTCACAATAAATTTTGGAAAGTGCATCGTTAAAAAGTGCTGAATAATCTCTCAAAAGGCTGCCACAGATAGCTTATTCACAGTCTGCTACATTGTCTTTATGGTCAGGATACCATTGGATAATTTGTTTTTCAACTGTGATTAGGAAACCAGATAACCATTATTCTACTTTTGATTTAAGACCTTTAATACCAAGAATACCCAAACCTTTTATCTATCCTCCATTCAAAGATGTGAGGGTTAGTGTAAAGAGGATTATTATGAACTCGTATTTTCTTGTTTTTAGCACAGGATCAATGTTTCTGCTCTTCAATCACCCTATCTCCCTGCCAAAGAGGATAAATAATAAATAATGATCCATAACTGATCACTTGTCTGTGCTGATTGGACTAATATTAGTTCTCATCCAGATCCACCAAATTAAAAGAATAAGCTGCTGCTCAGTTGACATACACTGTCTTGTCT